TGGCGGATTTAACAAATCAATTGAGGATAAGAAATTCTTGTGGGCTCGTTAATACAACAGCGCGTGAACACTGCAACTTTTTCCTGTTACACGTATGATCATAGTCACGCCTCGGTAAAAAATGTGTCCAAGACCCGCACTTTTCTGTAAATTGGTAGCGTAGAATACATATGGGTCGCATAGCATGTGCCATGTACATAACATACACACACCGTGACTCATTCTCTTCTTTGCTTCATTAATCACGATGCAAAATATCTCCACCTATATTCACAAACGTCAAGTTGGTGAAAACTGCTATTCACCATGACTCAAAATTGAATGCAATTTGACCTATGTGTGCCGTTTCTGCTACGTCAATTGACGCCCCCACAATTGTCAACAATATTTGTAAATAAGTCCGTAAAGTGTAAATATTTTCGTTAATGGAACACGCGCGTTGGTTAGACTTTCAGCATATACGCTCAGTATCGACAATAGACGATCTGCTATCAAATTCAATAGCAGAAAAGCACAATAAGCCTCCACATAGCTTCATTTATCCCGAAATGAATCTGTGTTTTCTATCTTTGTAATTTCATAAGTGTGGCACGATAAGAACCCAACTGCTGTATACGGGAATATATCGAAATTGAACGAACCTTCCGTAAACAGTTTGAAATCAAAATATGGATTTTGCTTCTGTGATGACTCATTGCTCTGGTGTATTTCAATTAATAATAAACATATGTCCCCCTACTCTAACTTTAATGAACGCTGAGATCGATCAATATCGAACAGCCAGCAGTCAATAAACAAATAAATATATACAATATTTTTGAATTTATTATACAAAGCTTAGTCGTGTATCCCACTTTAAATAGCAGAGGTAGAAAAATCGAGTTTGTAAGTAGTCACAAAATTGTCAACCACAAGTCTAACATTGTTCCGCGCAAAATGACAGTGTAAAATATAACGGAACTATCTAGATAAATTAAAACATCGAAGTAAAATCGACCCAAAGCACCTTGATCGTATGGAAATAAAAACAGTATCACTAACATTTTATGTTAATCTAGTATTGTAAAATTGCCAGAAACTTGCGAGCGAGATATCTTTGAACTCGAGAACCGATTTGTTCTACGAAATTCGCCCAGCATAAACGAATTTATAGTTCTAACACGAAAATTAGCCGACTTCATACATACATAAGCATTATGTCAATGAGTAAAATTTATAAAATGACTCTCAATGAGAAATATCAATTATAATAGTGTATTATTTTACATATTGTATCGTACTATTAGTTTGGTGAGAGAAATTGCTTACGGGAAAAATATTCCTAAAACCAACGCCGTTTGAGCCCGTTCGGTAGTAATTGGACACGTCCCAAGATGTCCATGATAAAAACAATTGCTTTGAGCTCGAGGTCAAGTACATTTAGTCTATGTTTACCAAGCGACCAGTTTTTACTATCCTTGATATTAAAGAATTGTCTTCGGAATATTGGTAAACCGTCTCTGTGTGTATCGGTTCCCCATTTTTAGTTATAGAAACTTCTTGAAACTGGGTCTTGAAGTAATCAGCCTTTACGGATGGATCATCGCGAAATTTAATCGCTTGTGTTGCGACAGTACTTGTGTCGGCGCCGTATTTCTTAAGCACAGTGTTAGGTCCCAAAGGTGTGGAATGAAGTCTTTGTAAAAGACTCGCGGTAAAACCTGCCCTCCACATATCTTTTGCCACCTGTTTCGTAAAAGTGCTGACGATTTCATCGCCTTGGTGAAAAGATGGCGCCAATTCAAGATTGCTTTCTGACAAAGCACTGAGAGTCCGAAGAAAAATGGTTTCATTTTCGGTGGCTTTTACTTTTCTGTAGCTTCTGATGTTTAAAAATTGGCAAGTTCGCGGCATATATGAAGAAAATAAATTAAAATAACAAAATATGGCAGTGAGCGCAAAAATTGTGGCGACGAAAAGTTTTCCTCTAAAACACGATGAATATGCAATACGTCCACTTAATCTTTTGCATAACCGTAATAAAATTGTATCGTTTCTGCAACTTTCTGATTTGTGTAAAATCAATGTTTTGTCATGCTTTAGTGCTCCATGTCCTTCATAAATATATCTTCGTGTTGAACACTGTTTTCTCAGTTCCTTCATATCCATCGTGAATGTAAAATTTGGTCCGGTACTGAAGAAAGTGGTATATATACACCTTTTCTTAAATTCAGAAATTCGTTTCCTTGCAAAATGATCTCCTTTAGTACATTACTATTCCGTGTATACTTCCAATACAAACTGCTGGAATGGCGAATACGATAGCCTAGTTAAAATATTTAACCCTGTGAAGCGAACAGAACAAGTACAGATGATGATAGGCTTTTACTAACCCTTCAAAACAGACCTACATTAAATATAAGACATAAATATATGCCCCGGGGCGTTTACAGTACGAAGTATAGTGCGATAAACGCTGGAACTGCTGAATATTACTACTTCGCTCCAATAGCAAATAAATATGCATGAGCTTAGCCTCCGTGTAACGAAAGCTGATCGATAAGTCGATGGCTTTTCCGTCATTCGAGCGTACAGAGCGCTAACACAACACTTTACCATACATAGACTCTCACTGCCACAATACGAGCCCAGACTGAGGTTTTTAAATGCGTCACTTGGAGACACGCTTGACTGGCGCCAAACCAGCCTTTACGTAACGCGGTCAGAAGTCGCGAACTCAGCGGGGAAACCAATTGCTGCCATTAAGACTTTCTTTGTAACTTAATCGGCCGCGGTGCGAATTAATTGGACCTTAAGACGGATTATATGACGACTACTCTTAAAAGTTTGTGACATAAGTGTGAGAAACAATGAGCGCCGTTTGTTGACTTTTAGGGAAGATTAACGGAAGTATAGTCATTTAAACTTCTACGTAGCACACGATAAGCATCGGACATTATCGAGGATATGGCGAAAAATTGCATTAATCACTTTTTACTTGATGACGTCAAGCCTTGATCATGATTGATTTATCTCTTGCATTATCAGCACTTTTAGGTCTGTCTATCAATCAATTTTTACCTTTTATACGGTTCATACAAAAGTGAAGGTGTCCACGATTTAGGAAAAGTTTTACATAAACACCAGAAACGAATATATCGCGCATGTAAACCATTGCTGACTATTCTCAACATTTGTTTTGACGATCATTTTCTGGCAATATTCTATAGCGTTGCAGGCAGCATACATCAACTCGTTTCCTCTATACACGAAGCGGTTGCGATTAGTAATAATCTGTTTTTACCTCGAAATGTCATAAAAAATTCATACCGAGCGGAAGAATAAAAATGTCTTTTTCGATAGTTTTGTGTTATACTACATTTATTACGATCCCTTACTTTGCCGGAGTGTAATCGATGCAGCATCTGGCGTACGAACATCATGAAATGGACACAGTCGGCACTACTTTTTGCAATTGGAACAAAAAAGACCGGGAGTTTTTATTTATAATGATATTTGATGTCATTATTTTACTCTTGAAAATGCACAGTTGTCTCAATATGTTTTATTTAATTTCTCCCGTGTCCATATATGATCCAACTATTGTTTTTGTTTTGTTGGGAAAAGGGTTGTGGAAAGGTAAACGTTTGTATTTGAGAACTGCGTGACAGGGAACAAGAATTATCAGAATAACGCACGAAAAAATCGCAATGTCACGGTTATTTATTGCGATTGTAAATTATATCACTGGGACTTGACAGTTATATGATTTAAAGGTATGCCGATTACTTCGTTTTGTTATCCCGTTATCTCAATTCACGTGCGATTGTTTTTAATCAATTGTACGTCAATCTCCATTCGTGTTTTTTTTATCAAAGAATTGATGAAATAAACACAAACAACGTTAATATTACCGTGCCTAAGATATACTGAAAATCAGATGATGATTCCACGTGGTACTCACGCATTTACACAATAATCGCTAATCTGAATTGAAAATCAGCACTTCGGTCTCAATTCCATTCTCAAAGCTTTACACGCTTTTAAATTCGGCGAACTAATTCGCTTCCGTTTATTAATGTTTGGAATATATCGCTTTGGCTGTTCTTCCTTCTAAAATCATATGCAGCATAATAATAGAATGGGAGAATAATAGAATAAGAGTATACTTCGTGTTAGAGCGCTTCACCTAGACTCCTAGAGCACGAAATTGCTAGCACGAATAAAGAAGTAATTAACATAATTTTTAAAATGAGACCCGCTCAATTACGAAAAAAAAATATTTTTACTCGAGTTCACCCTCAGTGTCCGCTAATCCAGAAGAGGATTATTGTCAAGCGTGTTTTTTAAAGAGTATGACCAAACTATACAGACAACAAAGAGACGTTGTTTCCGCAATCGCCAAAAAAGCCGCCAAGACGTAATCCTAAACCGAGAAAGGCGTTGAGATTATAAGTGAAAACTTTTGCTAGCGATTGAGATACAACATGAATATAGCAGATACTAAAATGGTCAACATATGAAGTATAGAAAAAAACTTGCGAAAATTACGAAAGCCACATTAAGAATCCGGATTTTAGCCCTCAACCAAATGGAACAGGGCTCATATGATTGTGCATATTAAAGAAATTGTACATATATATGTAATGTTTTTTTAAACTGTTGTATTGAAGTCTGCCAACTAAAATAGACTAAATCGACGGAAGTATTATTGTACATATTCCTAAATAGCGTAAACCGTGGAATCGTTAAACGATTCGAAATAAAGGGATCAAAAATTTGTGTGCTCCTTTTTAACACTAATATTATATAGGAGTTTTAAAATCTTGTGAAAAATAATCCTCTGAATTAACACTTGGCATTATCGGGTATAAAAATATCATATATCACCGTCAATAAAATGCCTGCACAATGCCAATGCAACCTCACCACACTCCCGCCAATCTGAGAAGGGTAATTGGTAAATTATCACAAACGCGTTTATTTTATCTATCACGTGACGTCTAGTTGTCACATTTGTACTTGTTGGCGTGCTATACGTGGTCTCTGACAGGCACCGATGAGGAGTTCCGTTGTTTTAATTTACGTTAGAATACTTGATTGGGAATTATAGCGTCTTATCATCTACACAAATAAGCAAGGTGAATATGCGATTGTTTTTTGATATTATAATACATTATATTTTATGATTTGTTATATTAACTTTTTTAATCAATTGCTCCAGATGTATGGACGCAGTTGGTTTTATAATAGACCACGAATCACAACATTACATTAGAATCATTGGTACCGTTTAATTTAGGCGCAATAAATTCGCCAATCTTTTAGTATATACTGTATATACTTGGCGATATCCACAAAACTCGTGGTACGGATTTAGCAGAATATTTATTGCTCCAATCACTTGGAATTTTTCGAATCAAAATCTCTTCTAAATGTTACCCCGTAACCTTAATAAGTCACCGAGGTAGTGGGCAGTTGAGTTCACATCGTTCTTGTATAAGGACTAGGTTTTTAGATCGGAGTGTTATTTTATTATTATGCAGTTGCAATAATCTAATCGAAGGTATAGTATCCAACAAAAATTCGTGTTGTCATTGCAGAATCTATTTACTTTTGTAAGCAAAACGACGCATTCTTCATTTTGGTCGGATTACTAGGATGTCACAATGCCGGACACAAAGATTATGTCTTCTGCAAATTACTGTCGCGTATTTAGCACTACTACATGTAGCGGACGCATATACTTACCTGGATTTACCTCGGTGTCGCGATGTAAAAGGCGGGGCAATGAATGCTGTGGATGGGAAAAATTCTTCATGCGTTTATTACCAGTGCAAGATGACCGAAGCAGTTGTGGATATACCTACCGATTTACTAGAAGGTTATAAAAGTAAGTACCGTTGAGTTCATAAGATATCAACTTCTCAGATCTAATATCGTCAATTTATGTGACGTATATCCCGCCAAGTCAAACGAAGTGGTCACCCCCGCTCGGACACGGCGATGCTTTGGCGTGTACGGCACATTTTATGCCATTAGTTTGTGAATCGTTTGATGATCGTACTTTATGAGTTTGTGATCTTTAGAACAAATCCGCTTCGACTGCTTAAAATTTTATTTTAATTTCATATTGAATAATTGTTAAATCTCACAAGATGGAACGATGTATAGATATACCGCATACCGCAGACGCGATAACTATTAATTGTTTATCAAGTTTTCAATGCCCAAAATGATCTTTCAATATTTAATCGTGTACACTAAATGCTATGAACTTCTATTTACTCCAAAGTTCCGGGGACAAAAGTACTTCATACTGATCTTTTATAGTGAGCGCTTGTAAATTTTATTTACAGATTATTCTAACATTGTTCTCGTTACAAGCTATGGATGTTCAGTTCGTGAACATAAGAAGATATCTGAAAAAGGTTTTAATTTTGTTCGACTAATAGTTCCTTACAATGGATGCAAAACTGCAGTCCAGGTAAGTGAAATATTATGCATATTACAATCGTGCGTGTGCACGAGTTTACATCAATACTATAGCATTGCTGAAATCGTCTGCTATCAATTGTGGTTCGCGCTTGGTCTCCTAAATCGGCTTCAATTCGTGTTTGTTCATTTAAGTTTGTCTAGACTAGAGCAGATGATGCTGGGCCGCCAATCATCTGATAGATGATTTCATGCTGTCGTTGTTTGGTACTGCTGTTGTTTCGTACCGTCCCATTCTTTAGATCAGTGGTTCTCAACCTTTTTAAGTTCGCGGACCGGTAAAATTTCGAAAAAAATTTTGCGGACCGGCCGACCTTCAAAATTAACCAAAAATGTCATGAACACAAAACATAATCAAAAGAATGCAACTACGACAAAAGTAGGCGGTGCAAAAGAAAACACTCCAATTCAATGAGAAATTTGCTGCTGTCTTTTTGATATTATAAGTGTTGAACGTAGTTCTGATGAAGTTTGTGTAGAGCGTGACTTCCACGCGATTTCGTTAGCTTTGCGGGTTTCATTGCGTCGTTTAAAAGAATTTCGGCGCAGACTAGGCACGTAGGAAGCGGTACTTTTTCGCTGCTGGGAGCAATAGTGAAACCTAGCTCCAAATACTTATTATAGTGCTCAATAAAATATCCCTCTCGTTTTTTGCTTGTTTCCGCATGATCCATATCAATTTTGCTGCAACTTGCAAGGTCGTTTCGAGGTATGTTGTAAAGTTGAAGTAGCAGTCTCTTCCTGTAAACACCACTAACATGGTTTTCACCGCTGGGTTTCTTTTGAAACGTGTTCCCCCGAAATTGAGACATTCCATGAAAATAAGACCTAGCCTGAATTTTAAGAAATATTTTAATATAAGCCCTCCCCTTAAAATAAGACCTAGTTAATAACGCGAACTTTTTTTTTGACCTAGTCGATATCAAGAAATCTCTTCTACACGTTTTAAATGGTTGATATTCTATGTTTCGCAGTTGTTTTGAATAAAAAACGTGGTATTTATAAGTAAATGGATATCGGTTTTCATACTTTATATATATATATTTGAAATTATCGTAATTCTTTACTTTTGAATTTTGTTTTTGATAAATAAAAATTTAAGACATCCCCCGAAAACAAGCCCTAGTGTTATTTTTCGGAAAAATATTGAAACATAACCCAGTCTTATTTTTAGGCAAACACGGTATGTTCTATCAAACTCATCCGTTATTACGCTAGTCGCCGTTATGAGGTCATAGACTTAACGAACATCCAGTCGTTCAGGGCTTGAAATTGGCAAAGGACATCTCACCAAGTTTGGTTGTTAGAGTCTAACGCAGACATGGGCAAACTACGGCCCGCGGGCCGAATCCGGCCTGTTGGGTAATTCAATTTGGCCCGCCTGATGGTGTTACAACCCAACTAAATCCAAATTTTGCTGTTTCAGCAAAAAATAGCTCAAGGAGTTTGTTGGGATTGCGATAAAATTTAGTTTTGGCATGGGGCTTATCGTTTTTCACTTTTGATTTTGTAGCACTGCAAATATTGTCCATAAATGTAACTTTCACATTTTACTTCATACTTCCATGGTCCGCCAGTCTAGATAGGCAAAATTGCTGGCCCCTGGTCTGAAAACCTTGCCCACCCCTGGTCCAACAGTTAGACGAATAACGGTACTACGAATCAATAAGAATTAGAAAAAAAAACACAAAACTAACGGACATGCCGTCAATTTTGTAATTTGCTTATAATATATTAATATTGGAAAATATTTGGCGGACCGGCAGCAAGGTTGCCGCGGACCAGCACCGGTCCGTGGACCGGCGGTTGAGAACCTCTGTCCTAGGCGTATGAGGCAGGTTATGAATGTATGACATATAGTAGTACTCGAAGTTAATGCATTTTGATTTAATATGATACCACATCTGTCTACAAAATCTGACTAAAGTTAATTACCTCGAAACTTTATAATGTGCCATCTCATGTCGCAATGTTAATCGTTGTCCTAATATTAGTAGTTTAAAGTATTTGTTATTGATAACCATCTTCTACAAACTGTATGTAATTTTTGTTTTCAGAAAGTCGGAAGAAAGATTCATTATCACAATAATCCGTATATATCCTACATAGGAGAAAAGTGGTTGTTATATTTCGTCAACACGTCATGCACTGTAAAATCAAGTGAGTTAAGCAAAACATGTTTTTGACGATGGTGGGAACGATTTCTCAATTTGATTTATTGTTGGGTTAGTGTTTTTATTTTAGACTCGGACCGAATTGAAGTTCGAAATCGGCAAAGGTTGAAGACAAGCTTGCATCAAACTCAAGCAAATTCTATTGAAATAAATGGGTTATATCAGCTGTTAAGTCAGCTGAATAATTGGTTTCTGTTTTGCCTGTTTTTTCATGTGAAACATTTGAAAAGTCTTCAAAAAAGTGGTTCTCTCACAATTCTTGACACTTTCATGCTCGAACTAAACTGGCGAATGTACGGTTTTTGTACACTTTACAGTTAAAAATATATCTTGCTCTCGTGCCGATAGTACAATGGGTATTATCGGTATAGTACAATGGGTATTATCGGTATATCACAAGATTGTGAAAGATTGAGCGCTATCTCGAATTTGACCCTCTGTTACTGGATATAATTCTTGTATCCAGTTGAGAGGATGCCATTGAAATTGTTCTAGTGAACTTTGAAAAATGTAACAGGATACCCAATCACTTTCGTCGAGGATGCTTATTGGAATTGGACTCACTGCCTCACAGTGATTCATTTCTCTTCCAGTTGCTTTAGTGTATTTTTTAATATTCCAGAATTATTACTTCCTAAAATCGACTGGAAATCGTTGCCAAAGTGGCAAGGTGAGTTCTAAAATTTATTTTTATTTTGTGAACCAATAATAACAACACTCGAACTTTTTACTTATATAAACCTTTACGCGAAATGAAGGTAAATCCAAGCAATTTTGATTTTGAACGGTAGTTAAAAGAAAAGGACCCGAGTTTATTTTTGGTTTTTGACCCCCTGATTAAAAGGACAAACGTGGCCAGTGATGTGTTAAGGATTTTGGTATTTGAAGATAGAAAAGTTGTGATGTCATACTGTGCTATGAACTATCTAATGAAATTATAAATCAGGGGGGAGGGGGGGGGGGGTCGATACTAGGCACCAAATGATTCTACATTCTTGATCACATCATCTAAAAAATTTATCTCACGGGGTGGCGGTTGAGGTTGAGAACCACAGTAATATAATGTATATTTTTTACGAAACATGATATTCAATGGATATAATATACCAGGCACAGAAAACCCAATTTATTCCAATGAACACGTTCACTATCACCATACCTCAAATATAGATAAATTGTCAATCGTGGAATAGTGGACCACTACTACTTGTGGTGCTAGTGCAGTCCGATATAAGATATTGCATAATACCTTGTGTTGCTAATGAGGCATAAAGCTGACTATATTGCATCATGTGCTCCAAGAATCGAGTGATGATTGGTTACCTTTTGTAAATTTTATATTTATTCTTCAATCTTTTACACAGGAAAAAAAACAGAATGCTTTTCGAGTAGTCTATTTTTCACAATACCTGCAGCAGGAGACCTCACCGTGACAGTCACGTTCTTGGCAAACGATAAAGAGTCAATGATGATGACCCGCGAGATAAAGGTGAGACTATGCGTAGAGAATAATTTGGGGTACTATGAGGATCGCCTGGCAGGGGAAGATTGGTGGTAAAGAATTATTTGTAGGGCTGCGAATTTTAGGAACAATTAGGTACCGTGATTGCGAAAAATTACAATCATCCCTTGTCGGTTCCCATTGTTAGGTTAACGGCATGAAAAATATTGACTAGTTTAGATATGCGAGTATTGTCTTTTTATTCACAATTTTCTAATGATGTTCTAGTCCCAAACTTGAGATATTAAATATAAGTCCTTGTACAAAACTGCTTTTTTAATATCAATGTAATAAATGAATATTATCGGAACATCTACAGTCAGTCAAGTTGGCCGATCATCCTAATGCGGTGTTTTCAACATTAAACGATAATACTATATATACCAACATTTGAGGTATTTGATATATGAAATATCAGCTTATTGTTTTTGTATTTACAGGTTCCCATAGTGGAGTTCAATCAAGATGGGAAGTCGAGAATTGTGAAAGCTAATATTAGTTCGAAGGTTTGGAAATATAATTTGCTGTCGTACAGCAAATTCAGAATAGAAGATTTCCCTCTTGGAAAAATAGGAAATCATAAAGCGTTTGGTATTTGGCTCAAAGCGGAGGAAAGACCGGTTAGCGTCGCGTTTACTGGGAAAAGGTCTGTCTGTTTTTATTGTTTTAGGTTTATCAACCCTACAGGCTGCTTTCATATAATTATGTATTATCGATTTCTTGTCTAGTTTCTAGTTACGCTCGCACACGAAATAAAACCTCAAATATGTTGATTTTTTTGACAGTGGGTCGGCATCAGCTTCTATTCTCCCAAATTGTGCTTTGGGTTACGAGCATGTCGTTGTGTCGTACCCATCGCAAAAAAGCTACGTTATCATCGCTGCTGGATACTCATTCGCATGGAATCAAAAAACGAAAGTACAAGTATTTGACAATGTAGGAAACTCTGTGCTGAACACAAGTCTTACTGTTCTGCAGACAACGTATTTGCGCGATGTCCGAAATGGCTATATCATATTCTCTGATCGTCCGATTGCTGTTTTTACTGTAATGCTGGACGCAAAGGTGAGCAAGGCTATAAATGAATAAATCACCTAAGAAGCTGATACAAAATCATACCTGTGAAATACCTGTGACTTGGTATAGCTTCGTTCTATCTGCATTGGTAGTGTCCAGTGTTGATGAATGTGTGTCGAGCTCGAGCCTCGAAGAAGAATCCATTATCACATTTGAAAATCAGATCGTCAGAAATGACTAAAGCGCATTAAGGAAATATAAATAATTTTGTCCAAAGTTGAGAAAAGACTAGTAGCACTTTTAAATATATATGTTTGTTTTTCCCATATCTTTGTTATAAGTCGTGATTTGTTTAGGTATCTGCAAATAATTCGACTACGTCAAATTTGGTATCTGATCATATGGCAGAGCAGTTGCTTCCAGTGAGTTTGTGGGGATCAAAGTATGTCGTGCATCCTTCTTATTTTGGAAATGATGAACCTCAATCCGGATCTTTACTCAGATTATTGTCGTATAAAAGAACAGTTACATTGCAGGTGCACAAATATTTTGGCAATTCAGCTTGTTCTAGTTTCTAGTTTTAACCTTGAGTGGATAATGCTGTAAACTCATAAGCAATAAATAACTAGGTACCGATAATTGGTACTGGGTACTGTTGGTAAAATTATTACCGTAAGATATTATTTAATCGCCCGATAGTTTTATTAGTTTCAAGTACTCAATATTGGAAGTATGATAAACAGCTTGCATTCTTTACCGAAATGAAATGAGTAGCTTTAAATTAGCTAATGGCTTTAGAATAATGAATTGGTAGATACATTAACATAAATATACTGGGTACTGTTGGTAAAATTATTACCGTAAGTTATTATTCAATCGCCCGATAGTTTTATTAGTTTCAAGTACTCAATATTGGAAGTATGATAAACAGCTTGTATTCTTTACCGAAATGAAAGGAGTAGCTTTAAATTAGCTAATGGCTTTAGAATAATGAATTGGTAGATACATTAACATAAATATACTGAATCTGTGATAACTGTATTTTCAAATCAATATTTTTTTTTCACTATTTGTGATGTTCTTTTTTGTATCTTCTAGTATCTGGGTATCAGTGAATCAAAATTTCCAGACACCATTCCTCCGATGTCTCACATTGATCTTGACATTCCGGTCGATGCATCATTTGTTGTGAAAAGCAGAGATGGAACTAATTTTATGGCTGTTATGATAGGAAAAAGTGGAACATTGAAAGGTATATCATTTTCCTGTTGTATATGTTAATCAATAAAATAGAAGTAGTTCATTGAGTATGGGTTTAGATTAATTTTGAGTGGAAATATGTACATTAGGTTCAACAAAATTACTATGTTTACCATGTTCAGAATCTGGCAGACGACCCTACATGATCATATTACAGTCAACTGAAAGTTTCACTCCATTCATTCACAGTTATTCTGAAATGGAAACACAGATTAATATTGTGGCAGAGACTTCTTCAAAATCAGGTTAGCTGCCAATATTTATGAAAATCATTTACAGTGTAATGCTCTTTAATTATCTTTTCAATGCGCTCACTTACAGTGTTTTGTTATATTTAGCTGAAATATTCTCTCTTGTACCAGGAATCAAGTGACAAGTATTGTGGATTATTGATTCAAAATATATTGCAATCGTTATCACTAAACATTTCAGAAATTAGCATCAACAACATCTCGACAAAAGTACCTGAATACTACTGGACAGACATCACATGTCCAATGACCCCAAACACATCATGTAAACAATCGAATTATACCTACTACCAATTGGAATCACTACCCGGAACATCACCAGTAATTTTTACAACTGGAGAGGTATTTGGTGCAACACTTTTTTCGCAAAATTCGGGCAATACAAAAGGAACGACCGCACATTCTGGGCCATCAAAGTTTGTACATCAGCAAGTTCAAGGTAATTATTTTACTGATATCACTTGAAGATGATTCAAAAAATTTCTATAGATGATTTTCATGACACTGGTCTTAAACGCATACCGGTAATAGATTTGAGAGTAACAATAGCATTATATACACGAGTGACGATAGTAACATTGGGTCATACATCCTTACGCTTAGGAATCTACAATAGCTTTGTGTATTGCCCTACATTGTAATAGTGTATGTAATTGGTGGAGCCCAAATAATAAATGAAATAAATGAATATAAAAGCCAGATTGAAGAAACAGGCGCGAGGTTTGCCAGAATGTGTGGTATTAGACGGCAACGACAAGTTTTTGATATGTAAGGTATGCACATATAGCTTATGCAAATGATATGTTCAATCTTCTATTCATTCCTAAGGTTCTATACAATCTTGTTATGGTCCAAAGTATTGCAAAACTTATTTTCTGCTTTAGATGACAAATGTGGAGTCGACTGGACGTTTTTTCCTGGAACAAAACAGTGTGTAAAAATCGTGAAGAATAATCTTTCTGTTTGGGATCAAGCTGCTGAGATATGCAATCAAATTGATGGAATGAATTCGTCTCTCATTACTATAAAAACTTTGGAAAAGGAGATTTTTGTGGTGAAACTCGCTGGTCTGATGAGATTGTATAATTTTCACATAGGTATGATATGGTATCACTGTCATTTTATTTGTCCTCACAGTGACTAGAAAACTGCACATTTTTCAACTTCTATTCATTGAGTGTTATATAATCATCTCTGAAACAGCATTCAGTATGCTTATCTAAATTGAAATACCTCACTATTATGAGCACACAAATTTTTTCAGTGCAGTTTTGCATTTCACTCATTCCATGTGAAATAACTTGAGTGCTCGTTCAATAGTATAAACTCATGGAGATGAAAGTTTCTAAACCAACACAGTGATAAACTATTGTTACTCTTGACGTGACTTATTCAATGAGGCAAGGACATCAAATTACAAATCTACCTTTCTATTTCATGAGTTGTCATGTTGTCATGTTTTTTTTTCAAATGATGGAATATTTTTTAGGATTCAGAGGGTTGGATGCAAAGTGGATTACTGGAGGAAAAGTTTTATCGCAAGGAAAGCCCATTACACCGGCCACTAATTTGGCTAATAGTTGTGGATACCTAACTCTTCAGTACAGTACGAATTTGATAAAGGGATACAAGTTGTCTCTGGGTCGCTGCTACAATAACCTGCCATTTATATGCCAAAAAGGTATCATTTTAATACAATGTGTATGTTTAATATTATTATCAAAACATATATTTAACATTATCAGCATATTTCTCTTAAGCCAATAATAAATGTTCAAAATGAAATTGAATAAGTGTGAATGTGAAATAGGTGTTAATTGAAATGCAGTTGTAATGTGTAGTTTCACTTGTTAACTTCAAATACGAGGTAATTCAATTTGATTCATATCTCTAATTTAATGTGAAATGCATCCATTTAGATTCTAATTTGATCGATTGCAAGGCATAACTTCAAAACGTCAAATTATTTGGATACAAATATCACTAGGACCTAATTATATTTTATAACTTCTTGTAGTAATTTTACCACTGAATGAACATTGCCCTTAAAATAACTTGCAGATGTCCCAGTAACTGTAGCAAAGACCATGAAGGCAGCTGAGACCACAACTGCATTTGTTACAACAGGTTGTATTTAACACTCTTGTACTCTTATAATCTAATCTGGTATATAGTTTGATCAGACAGTTTTTCGGCAAAAAATTTTTTTTCTAGATTGAACGCTGGAATGGAATATAAAATCATACTTAATTAATTACACAATCTTTATCATTGCTCTTATCCAATATTATTATTGAAGTAGCAGAAATGTTATTCGCGATAAAACTAAACCAAAATTGTTTTTTAATTTTTGACACCTTTTAATTGAGTTTATTTATATATGGTAACTGATAAAATGTACAATATTGCTTTGCATAGCTATGGCAATTACAGCCATCCCTACTCTGTGCCAGATGAATCCTTGCTTAAATGCTGGAAATTGTACTGCTGTTGAAAATAAGTGAGTATTTTACGATGTAATATTTCAATCTTAACAAATTGTTTGTGCAATTCAAAATTTATAATAAACTATGAAAAACTGATATTGAATTCAGGGAAAAATGTACTTGTACAATGCATTACACTGGACCATATTGCGGAGAGTATTTGCTACCTCAAAATGGAGTTTATGAAGTCACTGTGGATAAAAATATTCCTCTGAATTTGTTAAAGAAACAACACCGCTACAAAAGGGGGTAAGTTCATTTACGAGGTAAGGCTAAAAAGAAACGGGACTGACGTCACAGATTGCACAACACGATTAACCATCGGTAATCAACACTTTTGCAGTGTGGCTAATATGTGTTCTTTGTTTAACAGCTGTTTTGACACAATATCGCAATTATTTTTGCTTTTCAGGATCCATAAGTGAATGTGATAAATTTCTTGTTGAAAAAAAAAGCTGTGCGATGTCTGATTGAGTTTTTTGGCAATAGGGGGTTCAATTAAAGAATGACGATTGAGCAAAGAATTAACATTGAATTTTGTGTCAAACTTGATGGTTAATCGTGTTGCGCAATCTGTGACGTCAGTCCCGTTTCATTTTAGCCGCACCTCGTATCATACATATCGAGTCTATATTTTATGCTCAATATATTATACTATGCGATTTATGAAAGAAAAGACATTTCATGCATGTGTAACCCTTTTTTCGAAGAATATAAATAAGGTATTGGACAAGTTGGACACCACTTTAACTGCCCTAATAACACAAATTTTATAAAGTTCATACATTTGCTGTTTTTGCTCATTACTTGGCTCAAGATATTGCTCTTTCTATAGTGATAGTAAATTAGGGAAAATAATAATATGTATCTCTTGGCATTCATATTATATAAGTTCCAGCCAATGAATAAATATATAAAAAAAACTATTCATTTGAGCAAGTTGCTTAAGATATTGCTTTGAATAACAGTAAAAATATATTTTTGCAGTGGTAGAAATGAAAACCAGAAACTATTTGAAATTACAAGGTTTGGAAACATGCATGCCTTCCGAATAATATCTGGATGTCCTTCATCACCATTGTGTTATGGTTGGCTGACTAATGATGACTTTGGACAAGTTGCTATTGCAGACTCTAGATCTGGGTAACTTGAATGAGCTTCTTATAGAAGTAAAAAGTGAAATGTTGACCAGAAGATTACTTTACTTTAGCTTGTTTTTTTTTTACTTTTTTTTCAGCACTCATTTATTGCATATGATCCCTAAAGATGATGGTTATGTATTGGCATTTAAATTACCCAAAACAATCATCAACTATAGACAAGGTATTGGATTCTATCTTGGCCAAGATGGGTCTTCAGCTGTTGTATTTCGTTTACAAAAAATGAAAAGTGCAGGTAATATATAATTCAACATTTTATCTTAGAGGTATTAAATATGATCAAACAGCCTTTTCGTACTTCTAATTTGAGAATTGTAAAATTGTTTCATATGTATACTGAATGAAAAAATTACCATATCAATATTTAGCACATCAAACCTAGTTTATATGTGAAATGATGCTGTACTATCATAACTCCTTGTGGAATAGTTTGTTCTATATAGTGAATTTAAAGCAAGTAATTGCAGAATTGTTTGTGACATATATGGTAACCTATCTAATAATTAATAGATTGTTTTTTGCATGATATGGTGTAGATTGTCTTCAGTAGAGCACAAGTTGAAATACTGTAAGCAGGTTCGAAGATTTGCTTTAAGTTCTTTTTCAGATAAAATCTTCACTCCACCCCCATTCAAAATATCAATGGTCAGATACAGTTTACATGAACCAGTGTTGAGCAAACCGGAGCAGTATATTGCAATATCGCTTGACAGAAGCAGCTGCATACCAAACACTGATGAAGTTACAATATGTGCTTGGTTTCGGTCATTCCTTGGACCCAACAGTACCAGCATTATGCCTATGATATTGTACAATATTACAAAATCCCAAATTGAAACAGAGTTTGAGAATTTACGCAAATATAAAACTGCTGAAATAACAGTAAACCAACTGACGACTTCGGCAGTGAAAATTGAGATTCTGGATGTTGATGGAAAAGTTGTGAGTTAATATTTCATATTAAAGTATATATTTATTATTTTGATTTACCTAAATTATTAAATATCCAGCCAGAGCTTATTTGCTATCGTTTCTACCTGTTAACTGCAGTTAGCAGTCGTCAACTGTGCATAAAACAGGTTTTGGAAGCAACATCTATCGCATCTGTTAAATCGAATACTTCCTATATTTTTGTTGTCTTGCAACCAATCCAGCTCTAGCAACTTATTTTAGTTATTACATAACTGATTCAATTGAAGTTTAACGTATCAACTAATTGGTGTAATGTCATAGTCAAATCTCTTTACACATATAGTTGGTCAACATTACTTCCACTTCAGAAAAATATTTTGAAACATCAAGTATTCGAATTATTTATTATTGTAGCTTGATGAAAAGTTAGGATATTTTATTCTTAGTCATACATCTCATAACTCTGCACTTGCAGATTGCTGAAAGTTCATCATTTATCACTCCGGTTGTTGGGGTTCGGCATCAATTTTGCTTGCTCGAAGACAAAATTACAATAGATGGAATGTCATATTCTTTAAATTTTCATAAACCGCAGAAAAAATTCTTTAATCCAGCTACTTCCACTTTTCTCTCTACTGGACCATTCATAGGTAACCTCATATTTTCTATGGTGGTTATCATTTGTAAAAAATAAAGGTTTTATTAGAAGATTAAAGTCAATATGGTCACTAATTTCAATTTGACAATAAAATAGTTAGACATATCTATGTGCCAAGTACATTGGAAAAGCTCTTGTTGAATGTCAAATATTTTTTCAAAAAATCACACTTGAATTCGTAGGTCAAATTGATGGTCTTGATGTATGGTGTGGTAAAAAGATGAACGGTTTTTTGTTTGGAGAATCTACCATTTTTCCTGAATGCGGAGGGAGTAGAGGTGACCTAGCATCAATGCAATCAAATGACGTTATTATGACAAAAGATGTAATAAAGACAACTATTGAAACATTTGAATTAGCATGCCGTGAGTTTTATCATCTTTGTATTAGAGTTGGTCTTTAAATTGGCTATCTTTTGTGCTGCTCTTTTCTAATTTTTAATGCTAATAGCATCGTTGAAATTTCGAAAATCAAATTTAACATATGGTATTACTAAAAATAGCATATTTAGCGCTGCATCTTTTTTTCCATTGGTGTTGTTTCAAGCATTAAGTGGAGTTATAATAGTAATGTATATTGAGGAAGAAAGGTAGTTTGGGGATTGTGCCTATGGGGTAGCTCAATACTAAACTTGAACATCTTTATCATTTGATTAATTTGAATATGACACAACTTATGTATCATTTTATAAATTGTTCAGAATTTTGTCCTGCAAAATGGGTGTTACATCATTCTCAGTGTTATCAGTTGATTAATGACAAAAAGGCATCACCTATTGGGCAGAAATTTGTAAATGCAAATGGTGGAGTTTGCCCAGCTAGCAACAGTAACTCTGCTTCATGGTCTGTTACCATATTTTTGAGTACCACTCACAACTTTTTGTCACGATATGTTGATGCAGTCTTAAATCAGAACACTGATGTTGCATGGATTGGTATGCATCTCAATAGATGGAAAACATGGAAATGGAGGTAACTATTAGAATGATATTTTTATAGCGGTTAAGTATGCAAAGTCATTATGCCATGTACTTGTTACTGAGCTCTTAGTGTGATGTGCCATTGAGCCATGTATTTAGTACCTAATAATGAACGCCAGGTTCATGTTAATATATTTATTAGGATGAAATGAATTTGAAACTATCCTTCATTGACTATCTTGCAAAAATTTGATTTTAAATAATGGTAGAACTGGAAACCATTAATTATAATTTAAGCATGAACAACTGTAAAATTGAAATGGAATAATTTGATTTTTGTGAGGACATTTTTTTTGCGAAGAGTGAAAATGTTTATAATTCTTTTGCAAAGTGTCAGATCAACATAGCCAGAGTGTGGAAAGTTAACAAACTCCCGATTCCAGATCCGAATTTTGGAGGAAATCAAATTTTTATAATTAAAACTTTGACCATATGCGAACCTTCTTTGATAGAATGTTCAGATCGTTCATACTAATTCTTTGTGGTATTTATAGAAAATCTTCAATTAGAATATCACTATTAAAAATGGGTAATCCAGACTAGACTTAAGACCCAAAAAGTTGGAAAATATCGCTCCGAATCATACATACCAAATTTCGATTCCACAGTCCTGAATATATATAACGAAAAATGTAGTAAGTATTCATTGATGAATGAATAGATGTAAATGCTTTTAATCTAAAGTCTGTATTATTACATTCCTAAGTCAAGACGATTCCACAGTTTCATTGTCATATTGGGGTGAAGGTGAACCAAAGTTAGGAAAAGGAAATTGTGCTGTGTATGAAGCCTCACCAAAACCTGATATTCAGTGGACACCTATTCCAACACAGACTGACATTACTGTTGGTGCATCCTCGCCATTCAACTATCAATGGGCAACAAGGCCATGTAACGAACAACATCCTTTTATTTGTCAAAAGTCTAGCACTCAATTGTTCACAGGAAAAAAATTCATGGTTCGTTAAATCTTGCTTTTATAGTACTTTTAAAGACTATTTATTTTGAATTAAGTTCTAATTGTGATTTCTTTCAGTTATACTTTAAATTTTTTCATGCTAAATAAAAATAACTCTATTTAAAAAATACTTTATTAATTGCATTTCTCAGGGCAAACTTACATATATGTTTGATTAGATTAATCATATGACATGAGTGCATAAATATAATAATCAGTTTTGGAGCTAGCTGGATGCTACTTTAAAATTAAAATGATCAAATGTTAGAATCAAATCGCACAATCTACTGATTCAATAATCTACTTTCATTTTTGTGTTTTTTCCCATTTTGGCTTTTGAAGTAATTGTAAAAAGCCAGCAGAAAACACTGATAGTGCCCAATCCCTAAATCTAACATATTCAATTTTGATTAAAATGGGATGACACAATTTTTTTTTCTTATTATTATAACATGCATAACATAGTATGCTTATCCAAATAACACATTTCAACCAAAAATCAATGGCAAACACAGACTAGGACTAAATGAGAGGTTTTTTGTTTTCACTAGTAGCTGTATAGATAATTCAGTGTAAAGTTGAGTGAAGCTATTGTATTTTTGAGATATTTCATCGATATTTTGAGTTTCTAACATTCAAATATTCAAATATAATCATAGCTTCGTATCTTCATCATTGGTGGATCCTTCGTCTCGCATTTGTCTACACCAATTCAGCTCAAAGATTTTAGAAAAACTTTGGTTGCGATGATGAATAAGTTAACATCAGCAACAAATGGAGAGATTTCATATCAACTAATCCGAATTCAAATGATTCCATCATTAGTAGTAAGAACGGGCAGCAGAACTATTCTTGAGAAGGTTTGGTAGATATTTTTGTCCACTCTTTTTTCTTTTACCGGTAATTATTTCTTGATGAAACATCTAATTGATCAGACTGACAACTTATTGTGGTTGAGGTATTATCTATCAAAATTTCTCTGTTTTAAATCTTACCAATCGCTTTTATACATCTGGGATCATTTTTTCCATATCTGGTCATAGGGTGTATGCTTGCTTCAAGATTTCCTTTTTTAGGCTATGTCAAAGTACACTCTGAATTGTATCGTCATATAGGATAAAATTTACATACTTATCTAAAGGAAAGGAAAATAATAAAATGGTTTAAGCATGTGACAATCCATTGCCTTTCGAATGATTACCAGTCCATGTCAGGTACGAGAATCAACCCGTCGATTAGAAGCAGATAAAAACTAGGTGACTTTCAGCAAACTAACTTTTCTCTCAATCTAGTTTTATTTTGTGAAGTGTCAATCATTTTCCAGCATAATTATTTCACTTTCGGAATATTTTAGATTTTCATTGATGCAAGTAATGTTTTGTTTGTTCAATCCTTGTGGGTTATTTTAATTTAGAGTATTCTCAGCTGGGTTCCTTTTCCTGGAGAAACCAATCTTGACAATATTATCAAATACATAAATTCATTTTCGAATGATGCAAAGTATCGATATATAAACATCATTACTTCTGCGTATGACCAGCATATTTCAACTGCTCTTGTTAAAAAATCAACTTCTTTCACTTTTGCATTGGGTGAGTTAACCTGTACTTATATTGTTGAATTATTTAACCACATTAAGATTTTCATTGTAACATATATTTAAGGTTGAATTTTACAAATATGTTGGTATTTTCAAGGTGATATCTAATCTCATAACTAATCAATCAGCAGTAACCTTCTCATTAGCAGGGATACACATCTCGCAACCAACGATATTCTACTATATTATCCGTCTTATTAATAGATTTATGCATGTGTACATACCAAGTACATTTTTGCTAGTGATTCCTAGGCTATGACTAACCAATTGCCACATATGTCTATTTGTAAAATACATATTTCCTCCATTTTATTCTCGTAGATGCTATGTTAAGTTTTTAAATATAGCAGTTGATAATTTTTAAATCTTTTTGAAGGGTTGATGTCAGCGCAGTCAAACCATCTAAAAACTCTGTCATCTCATGCCTCATGTTATGACTTCGCAAGGAACAATGACAGACAAAGAATTGCTGTTGCTGATAAACTATTGTCATGTATTAGAGGTATGATGACTGTTGTTGTTCAGAGTAGACGGCCTTTCATTTTGGTTTGTCTGATCACAGTATGTACAAATGATGACATTTTCTTTTTCCTGGTTTTGAATATTAATAGTTGGCTGACAAGTTTGGTTAAGAAGACATTGATTTTTTATCTTTATTTTTAGGTGACTTCATTGTGGATGAAATGCCTTACGTCATAGCTGGAAAGAGTTTGGTTCGGATGTTTGATTTTGTGGAAGGCAGATCCGCCCAATCTAATTTACTGACTACAGATGCTGTATTACGAACAACTTCGGCATCCAGTTTGTCTACTGATACTTCAACAACAACTAGGTTTTCAGGAGTAACTTCAGAGACCAGTTCTACTTTACCTAATACAACTATTGTATCATTTTCAACAGATCTATCTGCAGTTACAAGTTCGTCGGGTGTGACAAGAGTCAAGAATATGACTTCTGAACCAATCATCACTGCAACAACTCCTAACCCTTTATCAATTTGGACAAGTCAATACCCAATCAATATTACAACAATTTCTGTTCCAGAGAGTAATACTACTTCATCATTAAATAAAACTAACTATTACTCAACTCTGCAAAGTGTCGCAACCTTCTCAGACATACCAATTACAACTCCTTTTTTTACTACTGAAAACAGCACAGTGCTTTCTTCGTCAGAATTTATTTCTTCAACAACTAATGTTACACTACCAGGAAATGTTTCTGATGGGCTACATCTATGGAAAACGACAACTTTTTCTCTTAATACCCTTCCAACAATTTCATCAACTACTGCACAACTTATGACCACTATTAGAACCTCAGCATATGAAAATTCTTCCTATGGAATGGTGACAACCACTTCATCCATTAGTACAGAAGAGCTCACGACAGTTTCAGTTAGGTAACTTTAGTTATGTAACTTATACATATTAAACATTTCAACTATTGCTTATGTCAATGAAAAAAGCGTCCACAGAGGAATACAAACAAATATGTTCTTTGTATGTACAATAATATCTTGCTATTAAACTAACTAATATAAGACATCTTTAGAATATTGGGTTTTGATTCACTCAACATGCTAGATTTGTAATATGTTAGTATTTATATTTGTCATGAAATATTGGTTTTACATTGCTATATCTACCAAATATCATGCATATTTAATCCTTACCAATCATTTAACCGTTCTATGTAGGTCTTTATTGAATTGAATATATGTAACAAGAACAAGATTTTACTTTTTGCAAATATTACTGTTCTAATGAGTAATGACTAGTATAGTAGTATCACCTAATATTAAATTTTAGTTAATAAACATCATATTATGTTTTCAGTGTATCAACATCTACATCTGAGATTAGTACTGCAGTGGTTGCAGTGCAAACAAGGTGAATATACTTTATCATAGGGTTAGAACATTACTGCATTAAAGTAAACATTAGAGTAAGCTTGTGTACCAGTAAGTGAACATGTTTGAATTATGTAATCTTAATTATATTCTGTTTTATGAGACCCAGATATAACTACTAATTTTTAAATTTTAGTTTCAAATTGAGTTATTTTCAATTTATGACTAGGTATAAGTTCTATTTTGATATCAAATAGGTTTTCATATAACGAATCTGGCATTGATGCAAGCGTTAATCAATACCTTACCTACAAATTCATCTTTCATTTTGTACTAAGTATCAAAGTTGCACATATATATTGCAGCTCTGAAGATTGTCCATCTGGGTATACTGGTGAAGGATGCATGGAACGAACAGAGCCTAAAAACGGTGTTGTGGAAGCTACCAGTTCAGATGACTTATTTGGACTTTTTCCATCAGTTTCAAATAGACGAAAACGGTAATTGTGACTTTCAGTGGTTTGCACTTCAAATTTTGCTTTTGGCAGTTTTGATAAAAGTTTAATTGTGGACCAGTAGATAAATGTAAGAAGATACTGCTAATAACGAATGTGTGTTTATATTTTGAATATAATTATAACAAACATTTATAATTGTGTTATAAATGATGAATAATGTTCATGATTTGTAAATCAGATCTACAATATCATCCATTCCACTTCAACTTGTTGGAATAAAAGGAAAATACGCAATAAGGAGTCTTTACTCGTGTCCGAATGGTGCATTTTGTTTATGGTGGCTCAATATCATAAATGACAAGGTCATGTTTGTTAGTCCCCACAAAGGGTAGGTACAAAGCAAATAGGTATCCTATCATAATATACATTGTGCTTTGGTAACTTAGTACTTGAATGACCTCAAAAATGGTGATACTGAAAAATGATTACAAGAGATAAGATGGGGCAATGAAGTCAAAATTATCTCACTTGTAGCTCTAACTTGTTTAATTTGTATAAAGCACAAAATGGGCTGTGATAGTTTAATGATTAGAATAAAAAAAAGGGGGGTTTATTCAAATTTATCACAAAGCTAAATCTCAAGAGCCTTCGCAACTACATTAGATGAACGTGCAATTTATAACATTTTGGTTCAAGGAACGATATTGAAAGCTTTGGAGCATGAGCATTCAAATTGTTTATTCAAGCTACTTAGACAGTTATTTGATTATTATTTGATTTAGCCTCAAATACTAAACATAGTCCCATGCGTAATGCGTGTAATAATTTACTTCGTGGCACTTACCACTACCAGTATATCAGTACTGGTGTCATGTATGAAATATTAATCAATAATCACAGGTATAAACTCTGGAATTTGGTACCATTGCCTGCTGCAAATAAATACCTTGTTAAAAGTCCAGTTGATGGAAAATTCATTTACAAATCAGGAGCAAAGTTTGGTCTAACAACAAATACAACAACAGCTACGATATTTGGCTTCAAAAATATACCAGGTTAGTTGCTGGTTTGCCCAATGCAATAAGTGAAAAATTAAAAAATAAATCCAAGGCGCTCAATACACTTCAGTATTAATTTATTGGGACTGATAAGCATTGGAAAGTGTTGGGCTATTGACTTTGTATACAGTGCTGTTGATAAGCAAGCACAATAAAAGAACCAGGTGATCATCATAAAAAAACCTTTCAAATTGCCAAATAATTTTAACCAAATAACACTGTTGCTTACTTTACCAATAGCAAATAGATATTATTAGTGGTGTGAGATTCTGTTATCGCTTTTTTTTTGTTCGCTAAAATTGGTAATTGCCTGATTGGTGAAATACTGCTTTTGACAATGTTTTCCATTTGAAATGGCCTTCTTGTATATGGGAACATGTTGTCAGAATCAGTCAGCTGTGTTGGGTATTTTGTATTTGGTGAATTCTTTGGTATTAATAATATAACATGTATGAATTGCTCCATTGGATAATCATTTTTGTATAAAAGTTCACTTATGCAAGATTGGGCATTCTGGCTGCAATATTGACAAACTGCGGGTTTACAGTTGTGTGAAGTTAGGTATTGGCTCAATTTCCATATCCACCACTAAGATCATTGTACTCAATATATTCAAATTTATCGATTTATTGTTATCAGGTAGTTCTGTAGACACAGTACCAGAAAAGATGGTGAAAACATTCAGAGCAGAATTCTTCAAGTCACAAAGCAATGAAGCTTACTTGGATATTCCTCTTAGCAGTTCATCAAATTGTACAAATACTACCATCTGTTTTAGTTTTCAAGCTAGAAATTCATCTACACTATCTCATCCATTGTTTCGATTAAATTGGAGCATATCTTCTGTTGTAAGTCATAATAAAATGTAAAAGAAGCTATACAGTAAGAAATATTTGTGATCTACTAATGTCTGACAATTTAGAAAATCGAGCAATAATTTTTGAAATTTAACTTTGAAAAAATATTAACCCTTCTTCTTCAATGTAAAGTGTGTCTGTAAATTTTTTGTTTGTGTACACTGTGATGCTACCATAAAAATGTACAACAGTTGTAATAGAGTTTGCTTAGTTCAATAGGTTGTATGAATAAGTATATTGTAGGCGGGGAAGTGACATTACTGGTAACAAAGGTTCTACTCCATTTTCATATGCCTTTCCTTTTTAGGTTCTTCCACAGATCAGCTCACTTCCAAAACAACAATGGCATGATGCTTGCATATTGATTGAAAGCAAGAAAATAACTATCTTGATTGATAGTTTTCCAACGCCAGTTCATAAAAGAGATATAGCTTTTTGCATGAATTCTCTTCATCTCATGTACAATACTAATGAAACCTTTTTAGGTAAAATGTTTTATGGTAATACTATGCGGCGTTGCTTTGTGGCATATGGCATAATCACTGTATTTTAGATGCATGACTACATGTTATAACATAAGAAAATGCATATATTTGTTTGGCAAAATGGATTTATTGAAATTGGGAATAATAAAACTGGCATATTGAATGACCGACCACAATTGATCCCAATAGAGGGTAATAAGTGAAAAAATTTATAATTTTCATAGTTTTCTGCTTATGGTATATATATTCTGCAACATTATCCTGAAATGTTTTTACCCAAATAGACAAGAAAATTTGAAATTCTGTCAACATATCATATTTGTTACTAATAGTGTATTGTAGTCCCATGGAGTAAAAGATTTGATTTAGAATAATGAATGCAGAATTACATTAAGTAATGTTTTAAATAAACCACTTTTAATACGATAATATTAACTGAAGATGGCTAAAAGGATGAGATTCTTAAATGCATCAAAATTGTAATATATTCAAAAGGTTCAACTATATTTTTAAATATTAATTATTGAAGAAATGTATACTGAAGCTATGGAGTTGGAATTTGAGTGAATAGAAAAAATACAAGAAACAGTGAATAAATTAGTTTTTTCAAATAAATTTCCTATGTATACGTCAACTACTTGCTTCTATTTTTGAGACTGAACAAGTTTTTGATTGTAATCTTAGTAGTTAGTTGTTCGATTCCAAATATTCATGCCACGAATTAACTGGGAAAAATGTCTTTTATTATCAAATAAGCCTAGCAATTGAATTCTGCATTCACATAACAATAATAATGTTCTTTTTTCACAATGGCAGGTCAGGTTAAACGAGTCAATGTATGGTCAAGGAAACTAAGCACTGCAGAGATGCATCATGTACATTCAGCTACTTGCGAATCACATATGGGTGACGTTATATCTTCAGTCCAGACCTTGAATGGAACAGGTTTTGCTTCGTTGGAAGATTCAATTCCATTATCGATGTGCCGTGAGTTATATGTCCTATCTCTACAAGACATTAGTGAAAGTTATCTTGCACACAAGTGAAAACTGCATTACTCATAGAAGTTTGCTCATATTACTTATACACTGACTAAACAATTAATATAATGTTCTCTCTAACAATGTTCAATTATTGACACCTAGACCACACATAGATGTAGTGTGGTGCAGAAATTACTACTTACCATAAGTCTCCAACACGCAAACACAATATACCTAGGTCAACTAAAATGCTGTAAACAAAACCTAAAATTATGAAGGCACTCACTTTAAATTGATGAATCTTTGCCTATGTGTGTATATACGTTAATATTGTAGATTAAGATTCATAATTTTTCAGGTTACTGCAAATTTGATTGGACTTTGTCTAGTGATTCTTGTTACCATGTTACCAGTGGCATAGAATCAATTGGTCTTCAGTACTTGATAGAAGACCAATGTAAAAAGAAAATTGATCCAGCTTCTTATGGACCAATAGTAGACAATGACAGGGCGCACAGTGTAATTTCCAATCTGGTTAAAACACAAGCATCAGCATTGGAATGGTCAAAATGGCCTTTAATACCTTTCACATATAAAGGGCCTGGTAATGGTTACCAGTGGCTGTGAGTTATGAATTTTTATACATTTTGAAATTGAAGTATGTTGTCATACTATTGTTTGACAGACTATACCCAAAAGATTAATGTTAAAATGCCAGGGCAACTAATCAATCTCATGCACTGTACACTAAACATTCATTGAAGGACCAAGCTCAATCAGATTCTAATTGTAATGGTCGAAACTGTTTATGAAAAACATTGCCATAGTTGCCATAGTCCTCAAGTTTATGAAAATTAGACATACAATACAATGGCAGAAAACTCGTCTGTTCTGAGTTAAATTAATGTGATTGGTTGAAACATCCTTACAAATATTAAAAATTTATGGCTCCTATTTCTTGCTAATTATATTGAATTATAATTTTTTTTCTTTAGTATGTTTGGATCATCGAGACCATATAATAGCAAAAACACCTATTGGAGAACAAACTTAACATTTCCAAGTGCCACAGCGCAATGTGTAGTATATGCACCTACTAATGTGTCAGAGTTGAAAATTTGGCCTCCATCATCAACAATCAAGGTGTTATGGGACAGTGTACACTGCTTCCTTCTCAAGCCATTTGTCTGTGAAATGTCGGCTGATTGCATTGACCCCCAAAAAAGCATAAAGGTGAAGTTAATGTCATATTCAAGTAAGATAAACTCCAAAGAAATATGTTATCCCTTTTATTCATGCCATTTGAGTTTCTGTCTCCGTTATAGTTTATTTATCTCATCGTTGTTTGATAAATTTGTTTAACCAGGTTGTCATTGCTATGCCAAGTTCAGGCCCATTGACTGTTCCAGTTCAAGAAAATTTCAGGTTATTGTTGGCTTATATGTTGGATTTGATTTCATTAAAATCTGCAAACTTCACTTTTGTTGAATCAAATAATACTGTGGAAGTTGGACCCAAGCCTGCTCCAAGAGAGGTAACTTGAAGAATTTCATTTAGAATTTTCAAGATTTCATGTTCAATGTTATCCATCAAAAAAAAATCAGTGATGTATTAGTATATTTTAAATTTAAATTATGTAGAAGAGTTTTGGGATTATATTTATATTTAAATATCTTAAACTTAAAAAAACATAGTTCTCATTTGTGGCATTGTGCATCTTCCATCACCATTTTTGTATGCTGGCACTACTGTTGGCAGAATGTGCTAAGCATAAAGAGCAAACTTGCTATCGCAATGTCTTAATTAATTCTAATTCATTATCCCATTGTTAAGATAAATAGTAAAATTCTCTCTTTTTCGCTGTTGTGATGTTATCTTGGTACATTGAAATAAATTGACAGTACTTCATGCTACTTTAACTTTGTGGTTCACTTGTCTGTAAGTAATAACTAATACAATTATTTTAAGTTTCTGAGATTATGGAAGCAAACGACAACAAACTCATCTGTGAATCAAACTTTGAAAGAAGTAATGACATCCAAAAATAAAGATGCAAATTATTTTGTTGTGGTTGTCCAGCCTGGAATCGATTTGACAGATGTTAGTACATTGATGACCAATAAATCTGTATTTTTGCTTGGTAAGCTGGAAAAAGATTTTATTACAGTATTATTATTCCTCATTGAATTCTTGGTAACTTTCTTCATTCCCCAACACAAAACTCTTCACATTCGAGTTACAATTGGCAACTAAAAAAGCTGAGCAAAAGTTGAATTACTTTTCTAATAAGGAGAATATTAATGGCGAATAATTCATTACCAAACGGCCATGAGGTGTCAAAGAAATCTTTAAATTATCTTTAAAACACAAACAATATCATATATTATACTAATACAATTAAATTTAATATTTGAACATAAATTTTGAACATACAATTGCAGACTCCATATGTGGTATTGTTGTCTTATTACAGGTTTAGAAAACACTTCGTTGCCAAACTTGCAGAAGCTATCATCAAAGCCTGAATATGCAGCAGTGATACCTGAAAAATTTGACACAACATTCAAAAACAACTTATTGAGTGCATTCCATAGATTTTTACAAGGTAATGAAGGGAAAATGTGGATACACACATTAGACATATTGCATTGGGCTGCAATCTATTGCAGGAATCTGCACCCAAGGAGTCTGTGCTATAATTTGTTTCAATTTGCGACTGTAATTTGCACTAGTTTTTGTTTGCATCTTTGTAGCTGATTCAGATAGTTTGAGTTTATTCCAATCCACAATTTATTACTTAGTGTTTGTATGGCTAAGATGAGATACTATATTACTATCTGGATAAAAAAGAGATTTCATCGTTCTGGAGAACCACAGACTCATTCCTATTCTGGTATGGGAATAGCTAACAGAGTTCAATGTCTTTATATCTTGTTTGATTTTGCATGTAGGTTTATCATTACCAACAGTAGTTTTGCCTTCAAATACTGTCACAACGCCACCAGTTCGATCACCAGTCACAATCGATGCCACAACTTTACCAGCTGTGAAAAAAGATACCAGCACAGCTTTGGTTGTTACACAAAATGCCACTGCAGCACCGGTTGTAACTATAAATCCTACAAGTGCTGTTATTTACAATAATACTGAATGTTCAAAATCTCCCTGCAAAAACAATGGTACATGTTCACCAGTGCAGAAATATGATTTCAGTTGCGACTGTCCTCCTACTCATGTCGGGAAGTCTTGCGAGTTTGGTAAGATTAGTTTTTAATTATTTACAAACATATTCTCCACTCTAATATAAGACTCAGAATATGATTTAGTGAACTTTACTGCAAACATATCAAATATCTTACCTCACTAAATCTGGGTTGATCAGAATTAGCCTGTCCGGCATCAAGTACCCAGCACTTGAATTATTCAAAATGAAGCACTGTGTAATTTTGTTTTAATAAAGATTAAATTAATTAAATATATATATATATATATATATATTGGGTAATACCAATGCATAATGTAATTTACTTTTGTTTTAGAAAGTCCAAAAATCACTTGTGGAGATACTGGTTTGACGGTATTGGTTTCTATCGATATTATCAGATCTCTTTCAGGAACATCAAACAACACTACACCATCTGGTGTTATTGTGTATTTTGCAAATCAACAAAAGATTTCTACATGTTCAATTACAAAGCCAACCACGGATAATCAAAATAATACTATGTACAAGTATGTGCATTAAAAATTTGCTTTACTAGTATTAAACTAAATTTGATGTTTTTGAAATTTCAATTTCAATAACATACCCCAAAAAATAACTTGTGCAAAATAAGTCATACACAAACATATCAAAACTAAATATTATATGGCAATTTTCCTCACATTAGGATAGGATAGGATTTACATGTTTATCCCGGGGGAGAGAAAAGCCGATAAGACGGCTTAATCATATGGCGAACCACGGCCTCTTGAGGGTTATCAGTCCAGGTCAGGTATGGGATTAGTTAGCCAGTTATTTGTTTTCGGGAACATGAACATTTTTATGTTCGCAGATTGCTGTGATATTTTAGAGTGCCAATGCCTTTATTTAAATATAATGAGACATTTTAAATTCTCGTAGATGTCATGAATTGAATGTTTTATTTGACAGAAAAATCAATATTCGCAGAGAAGGTCAGCTCTTTTTATGTTTGAAAAAAAAGACAAACGCTTTGGAAGTGTGATAAGCAGTGAAAGTGTGAGACAAGCATTAACTAGCACGTAATCGCGGTGACTGTTTCCGGAAACATAGCGCTGAGAATTTTAAATTTGACCCCCCCTCCCGTTTGGAAATTCTGGTGGCGCCATAATCAAATTAGAAAATTGAATGGGACATAAAAAATAGAAATTTTTTTTCGATTTCTTTATGAATATGCGCACAGAGCTGAGCTTATTGGCAGTGGTGGAATTTTGTGTATGCGTGTGTGCAGTGTTATCTGCAAATTCATTACTCATTCAGTACCATGTTACTGCTTAGTTGGTCACCCCTGGTATATACCAATAAAAATTTCTGAATAAACAGCCAGGCAAATTCATTACTGGGTATAAATACTTTCTTGGTACTGTATTTTTCCTCTCAAAGTAGGATACCCATTTATTACTCTCACGGTGAGAGGTATTTAGTATAGTTAATAAAAAGTAAACTGAAACACTACCGGTATGCAAATCAAACTTTGAGTTAACCCAATTCATTTGGAACCTATTCTGGAGAGGACGTATCTTTTATAACGTTCTTCATTTTTGTTGAAGTAATTAATAAATTTAGGTGTTCGGCTTTTTCGGTCACTCTGTATTTTATTTGTTTCAGATTGTTTGTACCTTCACCATTCTCAGCTTGTGGTTTATCAATTGCAAGACCCTACAATTCTACAAATGTAACAATATCTGGAAAAGTTTACTATGAACGAATCACAACCATCAACTTTATTGATACATCTGTTCTAATTGCCAATCTTAGTTGTACTTATGTAGTGAAATATGGAATTGGACTTCGACCAGATGACATTCTATCAGCTGTGTTCCAACCAGCTCCAAACAAGTAAGTATGTGTGGCACATCGTGCTAAGCGTTAAAGCAATATTCTTGCCATAGCACCTCTGATTAAGCTGCTTGGGTTGCTGAACTCCTAACAATGTGGTTAACGTAACCACTAAAATGTAACTGCTTTCTTCGCCATCAAGCTCATGCAACTGAAACAAATACCTGGCTAATTGATCCCATATCAGAAATGAACTGGTAACCGGGCAAGAGGCCGCGCCATTTAGCCATCTTATCTACTCCCTGGGATAAATATGAAAATCCTATTATATCCTGAAAAAGGAAGAATTGAACGGTTAATATGAATGAACATGGTTTATGGATGAAGCGGTTACATGATTCACCTTTAAATGAAAAAAAATCCATAATTCCATGTATGGTTTACCAGAAATAACACTGCCGAATCCAATCCCACAGAATGACATCTGGTGAATGCCGCTCAGGCTAATAAAATTTCGTAGATGACACTTCCAACTTAGCCTGTGGATGTGAACCACTTAATATTCAACTATATTTGATGCCAACAAATCATTTCGATGAAAGTGAAGTGATAATTTCAGTTGTGATTACCACATTCGATTAATGAAAGTGTGAATTTTCTAATTTCAAAATAATCATTGACATGATTTTCAGCCTTTTTTCTGCTGAGATTGATGAGACTGGCAACATCATTGTGCTTTTAAAACTATTTCTTGATGCAAAGCACACCAAACAACTTCCATCTAACCCAAAGTTGAAAATTGGAACAAATTTATATGTCTTACTCTACTCCAAATATCCTTTACCTAACAAGATGTCATTAGATATTGAAACATGCTACTTATCTGCATATAAAGACTCAAAAGTAAAGATCAACATTGTGGAATTATTCAAACAAAAGTAAGTCTCGTTTATGTTTCAATTCAAATTATTCAAAATTGTTTTAGTACGGCAGAATTGATAAATGATGAATTCAGTGGATAGCAAAGCATTTGTTTGCAATCCATGCATTCATATAAGTTATTTTATTGGTCTTTAAATTTTTTATAGCTGTGCCGTACCTAATGATATATCAAAGAACATGACTTCAGTGAAAAAAGATGCAATTTCATTCATGTTTCAAATTTTTAAATGGAAGGGAAGTAATAAACAAATGCATCTACATTGCACAACAAAGATTTGTGACATGTCTGTTGGAACTAAATGTGTGACGGTGAGTATATTTATACAAGGAAAAAGTTTGTAACCACATTCAAATAAATCACGAATATATAGATGCACCACCCAAAATTGTGACAAAAAATCAAATATCTTTCTGGTGGCGTTTTCGATCAAAAACAAAGGGAATTACTTTAAATGAGAGACTCGAGCATCAAGTCATTCTATAGGACAGATGGGGCTCAACATGATTTGGACTCAGACTTCCCAAGTATTTAATTAAAACCATGTCTGTTTCTTTGTTTTCAGGCATGGGCCCCGTTAACACCGGATATGTGGTTTCTTATAGTATTAAGACTTGCTTTTGTTAAATACCCTTTCTTTATAGCTTTGAGAACTTTTTCTTACTTGATGTACTTCACTGTATATAAAAAAAATGTAACACCATATCAATACAATCAGTGGTGTCTTTATAAGAAATAAATTGCTTGCCAAGGAACTGCAATGTGCATTAGAGATGTCAATTATTTGCCGCTCCTCACTTTCATTCAAATCATTTTTGAATCACGAATCGATTGCTTTTCAACTTCAAAGTTTGGCTCACAGAAATATATTTAAGCACAATCTTCATTTTATATCATTTAGAATTGCACTAAAGTGTTGTCAAGAAGAAAACGACAGCTAGAAATTGAGAATGATAATGCATTTACAACTACGTTCATAAGTTCTGCTCCTATTCGTACATTGGCTAGAGACGAAGATTCTACGGCAGAAGAAACTGGTGAACATGTTTTCTAAACTTCGTTGAGCGCAGTTTTGAAAATTATTATTGTTATGTCAGGTGGAAGTCATGTGTAGTGTAAAATTGTTATCCACAAAATATAAAATTCATCAAATTGGCTTTTGCAGAGTGTGAGGAAATAGTAATTTTACTTCGATTATAAAGTTTAAAAATGATGTTTATCTTATCCTGTTAAAGTTATGCTCCAGCAATACGATATAGGGAGTAAAATACAATGATCTATGCAAAGTAACCACACAAATTGACAGAGTTGATTGAGACATATTGCATAGATATCCATTGAAACTGAGAGTTCAATGGAGACAGGGTTTTGCGAAGATAGAAGGGATTGCATAATTCCCAGACTAATTTGCCAGTGATCCTTTATTAGTAACCTCCTATTGTTTCAGTGTTTACTCATATCTTATAGCTAATAGTAAAAAGTACACCAAACACTTGAACTTCCATTTTTTGTCATCACGGGCGTCCTTTTAGAATATTCAGATATATTACGGTAAATCTTTACATTATAGATAGATTTACAGGATTACATTTAAATGCCAAAATTTTTACAGATTCTTCTACCTTGATTGAATCAAAATACCTGGTGACGAAAAAAGAAGTTTATCCATATTTGCTTGCTGGATTAATTATGTTCAGTTTTCTGTTTTTTTCATTTGTAATCGTGATAATTCTACATTGCCAACGTATGCCAAATCCGGAAACTTATGCTCAGTGAGTTTATATTTATATAGTCTCTTATAACGATTGAATTTATGATTGAAGTTATTACGATTAAAGTTATCATGAAATTTCAGGTATACAAAACAAAGTTATCGCAGAGGAGGAAGTATATCTGGGTCACTACCTAGAACATGGACAGTTGTTCATGCATTGTCACCTCCACCAAGTGCTGAAGGTGAGAATTGTTAAGCTCTCAAAAAATTTGGGTAAATTAAACTACCAGTTCATTTGTGATGTATTTACTTGTGGGGGCTAGTAATTACTTTTGGTATTGAAATGTTTTAATCCCCTATGAAAAAACTATCAAATTGCCATTTGAACAGAGTTTTTATTGATATTGGAGTTATTTCTTCTTCCAATGGCTCGGACTTTGGAGTCAGAGGCATGAGACACCATAGCTCTGCTGAGAATAAACAATTTATCGAAATATTCCAACAAAACCTGTCATTATCTATAACGACGAGGTGGTCCAAGGTATACAGCGTCTGGATCCACAAAATTATTTTGCATTGTTCGCGGGCGACAAGACAAACACATGTAAACAGCACAATATAAAACAAACACCTTAATTGTGCAGACACTTTGATCATTATTTAACATTGATCAATCTTTCTATATCAACATTTAGTTTTAGATTCCAGTCTCTTTATAACGAAAGAAGTGCTTTCGATTATCGATGAGATTTTCAAAACAAAATCTCTTTACTGTGTTAAATACCACAAGCATTCAAGTGCTGTTTTAAATTATATTTTTTTGGCACCGATGCAACTTGCAGATATTTCAAGCATTATGGTATTCCCCCTCCCATATCCAGTTAAACTCATGTTTACAAAATAACTTGCAAAATCACTCCGAATTGATTGATTACTAAATTTTACCAAATGTGATTTACAGGAGGCTAATCACTAAATATTCTGACATAGGCAGCATTTTTATGTTACTTTTTAGGCTGGTTGCAAAAGACAATGCGGCATGGAGTATATTTTAGGCCACAACAGCTATCATTAGTCATAGTCAACCCAGTCGAATTGATTCCTCGTTAGATTTTAGGTTGTTTATGAAATTGGGCTATTGTTAGCGGATATCCCCAACTGAAAATACAGAAAGCTAGGTAACAATTTAAGCTAGGCAAGAACACTATTTAAATTTGCTGGTTGTCTTAGCTAGCCATAACACTAGCCAATTCAATGAAATTAGTGATGTAACATTATGTCAAAAGGTTACTCTGCTATTTTTATGATGAAAGAACACCAAATGCTATTCTTTGATTACGCTCTAACAAATGTGATGCGGGCTACAATTGATTATGCTGGCCACATGTGGTCCACGGGCATGGGTTTTGACCACCCTATCTCTAATGTACATTCCTAACGATATCACCAAATTTAGAAGAAAATATGAAAATGTTTTTTATTCACACAGAGATGCAAAGTTTGAACCCTATTTTAAGTTCCAATTCATGATAGATCAACTCAGTAATATATTGAATTGAGCAAAAAAAAAAAAACAGCGATATATTTGAATATTTTTAGTGACCGAGCCAAAACGAGCTCGGACCTATGCAATATCAAGTGACACCAACAACAGAGTGGCAGAAATTGCTTCACCGAATAGCTCTCAAGCCAGGTTTTCCACATTTCTTGGAGAATCTCAAGGGGATGATGAAGTTCAAAGCTCAGTTATTGTGGTTCCAGACCGACCCACACAAGTCACGACTACACCTGTGTAATGTAATTGTTCATACCTCAGTTCAAAAATTGAACCCAGCTGTTTTTGTTCTCCATGGAAGTATGTATTCTTATTCATATTCTGTGCAATCTTTATTTATGAAGTAACCCTAGTTCTGCGTTAAAACAGTCTTGTCGTCATATGTACTGACTAAAAGAAGCTGATTGCCATGGCGTTTTCTAATCATGTTCCACATATTTTTCGTTTCTACCTTGATTTGCTAATATTTTTTTCTTTGTCTAATGTTATGAATATCAATTTTAATGTGTTTTATGTAGTTTATTTACTTTTTCTAAATATTTTACCTTCGTATATTATTTTACTTGTTTCTACACAAAATGTTTTAATTATCAACTTTCTTTTATATCTTATATTCCGCTGAATTTTACTTGTGTATTGCCTACTTTTGTTGAAAAATGTTTGAAACTTTCATTTACATACTCTCAAGGAGATGTTTGTTTATCTTTTTTCAATTGTGATCTTTCACCTAGGCAGATGTAATTAGAGAGAAAGAATTGAAATCCTATGTTTCCAATTGGCATATGTAGTGCTCAAATACATGTTCCTAGTATCCTTAGCAATACTGTAAAGAAAAATTATCTAAAAATGGAAAGCGAATACCTTTCTCATCTAATCTACATGCATTGTTAGAATGTGATAAATCATGTGCTCATTGTGAGCAGTTTTTATTTTGTTTAATATTTCTAATTTATTAAGTCCTTACTTCCTTATTCATTTGTTATATTTATCCATGTTATGCTGATTTTCTTGTTCCATTGTGGGGCATTGATTGAAACAAATAAATTACGCCTTGTCTGAAACTTTGCTTGTTCACTAAAACATGAAGTTCACTTCTATGAAGATTGTGATAAGTCTAAATATCAAAATTATTCCCCAACATGTACGGTAAGTAGTGTAATGACTCCCAAACTTCTCCTTCCCCATGCATGAACTAAGTTTTAGTTGTTTAATCTTCAACGTATATCACCAAGGATATACGTAGGAAGCGTCACTTGACTTAGCGTATATCAAAGAAACCCAAGACTGCTTGTCAAGATTCAAGAGTTTTAAAATAAATTCACATAATTTCAGTCTACTAGTACCTTGAAGTATATAACCTTTTATATTGGCAAAAGTTATTGCGAATGCATTTGTGCAAACCTTCTTACGGGCTGCCATGGGCTATGAAGCATAGTGGGTTGCCTAAATTTGTACGCTTGCTGCTTAGAAAGAAACCCTTTTCCAGTAGTAACAAGACTTGCCAGAAATTTAAATCAACTCAAAAGTAATATTTGGAAAGTTAACCAGGGAAGTTTCGACAAGCTGATATATTTACTCATACCGTGAGCAATTGAATGATCCAGAATCCTTACTTGATGGCTTCCAAAGCAAGAACTCTTGCACATACCTCAAATCGCATCCCCGGCCATATAAATGGCCACTAACATAGCACCTTAAAACATATCGCGCAGCGGTTCGTAAACCATAGTCTTCTCATTTAATCGAGAACCCTTTACTTTCAAATTCTGACTAGATCTATTGCATCAATCTAGACCAAAACATGAGCTTAGATAACTTTTTGTGCATACAGTTGTTTCCAATCAAAAACAGTTTGGATAACTTTTTGTGCATACAGTAGTTTCCAATCAAAAACAGTTTGCTGCAAACAGAGTCCAACATGCAGGACAGGAGCCAATGTGTCATTGCTGTTGCCCACACACAAAAATCCGGGGTTGTGTGTATTCAACCCATTTTCAAGAGATGGGTGGTTCTATATACTGGCTGCTACAACCTAATGATTCCAAATGTAACTTGATTACTTGTTTCAAAACTCAGACAATAGAATGAGGAAAAAACGTTTATTCAGACAAACTTTTAACATTTACAAAATGCTGAAGATAAATAGGATTTTCCAAATATCTGTGTTCTAATTCGAGTGGATGTGCAATAAAATATCTTCGTTCATCGATGAGATCTTTACAAATTCTTCTCAAATCATTTGTCGGACTTCCAAAATTTTCTTAAAACATAATTGTGTATCAAGTATGACTGTATATGTGCACAACTCATTTAAATTCAATGATAGCAAACAGCAACTGTTTTATTTGAAATGATTGCTTTTAAATGTGGCCAAATGTTTCACCAATCAGAGTCTAAACTCCTTTACTTCTGAGTAGGCAGGTGTGACTTTGCTTTAGGCAATTTCTCATTGAAAGTATATGCAGAATATGCTTAGCACTGTTGTAATTTCACTTCTATCATATGCAAATAGCAGGTATCAATTACATTCATACACAGCCACAAGGACGAGTACTTACTTTCAAGTTCTTCAAGTAAATGTCCAACTTCACGATAAGCAACATGCAGATGCGCTACCATGGTCCTATACTCTGTGTCAGATCGACGCAATCCTAGAATTAATGTTTTGTTGCATCGAGACATGGTAGCAAGCAACGAGTATAAAGCTATTGTAATTTCAGCAAGTTTCCGTAAACGAATTTGTTCTTCATTAATTCCCTAGAACAAAGAATTTGATTTCATAATCACCCTGTGAATTGGGAATCATGGTTTTGTTCTGTGACAAACCACAACCTTTATCCTGGTAAATATGATAAAACCAATATAAGCTTGCATAGACAGTTGGTTGAAAAAAAACTATAATGGTATAGTGTCCAGTAGGAATGTCTAAAAGGAATCAAATATATGTAATAGATTCCAAAACCCCAGGAAGTGATGCTCGCAGACTTACGGTAAATATACAGGAGCAAGTGATAGTTGATTTTATATGATTGTATAGGAACAGTTTAAAATGAAGGAAATGGAATGCATTCAAAAAAAAAGTTTCGAGCAATTATCGTCTCACAACATGTATAAAAATTAACAGCCAATCAAATCCTTTTATTTCAACCTTATTGAATTTCCAAATTCAAACTTGCTGAACATAAATTCACTTCTAAATATTCTACTTAGAACATGTCCTATTTTAAAGTATAATTAAAATAGATAATATCATTATAATATGTATCCAGAACAGTAGATTTGGTTTTGACCATCCCGAGCATTCAGTATCCCTATACTATAATCAGTGTTCAGTGTGCACATAATAAAATATTTCATTGCTGTCAGGAAAACTAAAACGAATTCATTGGGTTTACATCTGTCATATTGCCATGAACTAAATGAAACAGACAATAGTAATAATTTTCCACTTGATTCATTGACCGGAGTCATTACTATATGATTTTAATTGTCAAAAAAAATAATTTCTCACATTTCCAAAATATTCTATATTTCTGTAAACTTTACGGTAAAAGCTTAGCAATAATCTTTCTATTGTCAATGCACATTCCTTCAATCTTGGATCGAGCCACGTTTTTGTTTTAGAATCTGTTGTTAGACCAAATGAAGGGATTTTTTTCTGCCCAAACCCTTTTTTGATATATTCATTACTACGGTGATCTCGAAACTCATCAAATAAGGAGCTTATTTGTTGTCGTACAGTTCCGATCTTTCGATTTCTGAAAATTTGAAACAAATCAAGCTAAGAGAAGAAAAGGTTAAATAAACAGTGACCTATACATGAACAAAGCAATGCTCATATATATATAGATATGTATGTATACCAGTACATGGACCTAACAGTCAAATTACTAATATGATTACCACAATGACAGCACAATTTCAGACAAATGTTAAAATGCCTGGGTAAAGTAATAATCTTCTAGCAAATTTCACCATCTTCAAGTGCTGAAATTCAAAAATAGATTTGACCATAAATTTCTGAAGAAAAAAAAAACGATGACAACATCAGTTTATTAACAAATCGATTCATAGGGCCGCTTTGTGTTCAAAAATTAAGCAAGAACCAAAACTTTCATTAATTTTTAAAGAGATGCATCACTAACACATATAAAGAAGCTTGATACAACATTGATAATAATTCAATACAAATACTTATTCGATGAATACAAAGTGCCAAGAGAATTATTAGCTTGAAGATGAGGGAAAGTAAGTTTTCCCTGGCAGGCCGAATTATGCAACTGGGATGTTTAATAGACCAGCTGGCTTTTCTAATATGGACCTGAACTGAGCTGAAATGGTGACATTCCCAATACAAACGAGCATCAGAAACAACCAAATCTTTATACCTTAGTCTTTTATCTAAGTATCCTTCTGCATTCTGCAAGCCACACAATGCAATATACATCTTTAAAACATCTTCAGTTCCCTGTGAAACGATAAATAGATTTTATGTGTCAAAAGGTTTCATTTCTTGCTAGAATGACACGGGCTTTATCACGCCTAATGACCAGAATTCCACATTATGATATTTCATAGATTTAATGCTTAAGCGCTGGATTCCCTGTTCGTGTCTACTTTCCTGCCAGTCAACATATATATTCAAACTTTATATCTCAATTGTAAAATACAAGACTGATCCATTACTGAGTAGTTGAATTCAAAATCCTCATCTTTTCTCAAGATTATGTTCACTATACCATTGGCTGATGAATTCTATTCTCCCGCAAAATTTGTTTGATGTTTTACCGGTTAAGAACCAATGCTTTAGGGTAATTGAACACTGTTACATAGCGATTTCAAGGAGCAATAACTACAACCTGGGAAATGTTCATTATTCTGAACTGATAATTGCCATAGATTACCGGTATATTATAATATTATGTATTTTACCTAAAAATTTTAATAAGTTTTAATAATACCTCTGACAGCGATAACATTTTGCTGTCTCTGAACAAACGCTCGCATGGAAAATTTCTTGTATATCCTCGATAACCGAACAATTCAACATAATCATTAGCTATTTCTTGTGCTTTCTGAGCACAGAATACCTGTTAATTTATTAATGTTCAATTTTATAATACGAATAGAGTATATAAATGGTATCTTTTGCATAAAAAAATATTTGCCATAACTTGAAGCCCATTGTTTCAACCCCGATTCTGCAGAGTTGCGGACATATGCTGCCATGCCAATTTTCCCAATTTCATTGAACTCTTGTTCAGCAAATGGTATATATTTACGAGACTTTAGCCTAATATTAAAAGATTTCATATTCATACACTGTTATCTCGTTTTTTGTTTTCATTCCTGCCATTACTCCAAACATGTAGCTACTTGTATGTATTGAAGAGAATTACTAATATTTAAAGAGACTGGAATTTTTGCAGTTCACCATAGGCCATATTAATCTGGGTAAGATTGGAGCCTGGAGCAAAAATATCTGATGGACTAAAGTGTCGTACCCACTAAGCTAAGGTTGTGTAACAAATTCTTGAGTAAAATAATATTACTTGTTTCAATAGTGCAGTTTCAATTTTTAGATTAGTACATTTCACAAAATGTATTGAAAACAAATTACAAAATATACCAGCCTTGCTTATAGCAGATTCTACGGAAAGGTCAGGGATTTTGTCTTCTTCGACTGCTTGGTCATATTTTCCCATTGTTAGGTAAGCTACACTTTCCATTAGATATATGTTGGAATTCATTCTGAAAATTCGTTCTTTAACAAGTTCAAAATCTTCCAATCGTCTCCCGAACTGTTTTCGTTGACTATTGAAGGCAAGTGAGAATTGTACTGCATCTCTCATAGGTCCTATCATACCAGCAACAAGTCCCAACCTGCGAAGATGACGGAGATTATAAAACTTTTATTTTAGTAGCCTTTTATTGGAAATCATACACAAAACAACATGGCGTATTTCCTTGAGAGTTTTTGGGCTTTTGGGTTAGGAATACACTCACCACCACACCTATGATTACCCTGCGTGAGTTATCCCATGCGGGGTTCATTATGTGCGAGAAGATTGCTGGCGCCATGGGTGGTTCACGTAATCGCTGGTTAGTTACGGCTTCCTCCATAATCAAGTCTATGCATCTGAAAGCAAATAACAGCTAACTAATCCCATATCCGACATGGACTGGTAACCGATAAGAGGCTGTGGTTCGCCATGTGAATAAGCCGTATTATCAGCCTACATAAAGGATCCAAATTAGAAAATGGCTAATAAATTCAAAAAGCCAAACTATGTCGTATCCCAAGAGATTGAAGAAGTTAAAACTTGCCTTGATATAAATATAAAAAAAGCTACAAGCATTCAAATAGATTTTGGTATAAATAGGCTTTATGCACTGTACCTCGCATAATTCAAAGTATCTGTAGCAATCTTGAATCCATCTCTCACTTCACCAATCATATTTCCAACTGGAACTGGAGTTTGATCGAATATAATATCAGAGGCTGAAATCAAATTTGGTATGTTATGCAGTGAGTCTGATTAGAAATAATTATTAATTCAAGATGTAGAGCAAATGGAACGGGACTAGTACCATCTAATATTGAAAAAAATTGGGATTGAATTATCACTAGGAGAATGATATATGGAAGCTATGAAAGAGCACTGCCTTATACAAATTGTTAATACAACAACTTACTATTTAAAGCTCTCATTCCCATTTTATCTTCCTGAGGACCGATATGAATTCTCCCAAAATTTTGTTCAACAATAAATGCTGCTATCTGAATATGAATACATTATGATAAAGGATGATACTACATCTTGTCTCTATTAGGTAAAGTCAAAAATATTGTATAATAAATTTCTATCATAGTGAATTCATCGGGTAAAGAATTATACAATTGCTTCCATTTGTCATTTTGTCATATTTTTCAACAATTCAATATGGACATTGCAATAAAAAACACTTACAATATCTTTGATTCCTCCACCAACATCAACCACTTCGGTTTTAGCAAAAACAATAAAAACATCAGCAATATCAGCATTGTTTATTGAGGTTTTTTCACCAGACAAAAGCCAAAATTGACCATCGTCACTGAGTGTTGCTCTGGTTCTAAACAAATTAGTAAGCTATTTAATCAAGTGTTGGCATCTTGATTCGAACAAAATCCTAGGCAAACAGTTGCCTGATTTATAAAAAGCACATACAGTAGACCAACACAATGGAATAGGGTTTGGGTAGTTGTCCATGAACTTAGAAATTTCCCACAAAACCATAGATTTTAACAACAAATTTTAAATACAGAAAATTAGCACATATGCAAACCTAGTCAATTCAATTCCTTTTGGTTAGGCAAAGATTTTGACTATGATCACAATCACAACCCTTGAAGTCTGAAATCCCAACCACAACTCTTAACTTCAATGAACTACAAAATATGGCTCTCCAACTCCAATATCAATAAAATATGTCATCTTCTGTTCAAACCTATCATCTCGGCCATAGATCCTCGCATAGAAAATAGAAGACAACTTGGCAATTGATTCAGGCACATTCAGGGCAGGCCCAAGATCTGACCTTTGAACTTACTGCATAGTATTTATGTCGCTTCCACAAGACGCTTCATTACAACAGAAAGCAGCAATAGTTTCACCACTTGCCATCTTAGGTAAATATTTCTTCTTTTGATCCTCATTTCCAAACATCAAAATTGGCTAAAATAGAACTTCTATATCAAAATTTGGTGGCATTATTGGAAGTCAGACAGAAAACTAATACAGTCACTACCGTAATTTGCTAGTGTTGTTTGCACAGAAGACTGGGTATTAAGACTCAAATATGCCAAATATTATGGTAACTTATAGAAAAATCTCAAATATTATTCACACATATTCATTGAAGTGGTTGGTTCATTATTTTTGACATTCCTTTATCGGTATTGGTATATGAAAGTGAGAATTGGCTAGAACTCAATGAATAGAGAATTGGCTAGAACTCAATGAATAGCCAGAAAGTCGTAGCTTCAGACAAAAAAATCCGGTAAAATTTTATGGCAAACTACAGTCTGGAGCTAATGTTTCATGTCATATGTTGAATTGAGTTAACCGGTTAGTATTACAGATGTAGCCTATTACATTTCACTGTTTTTTCAAAATCTACAATGACTAGATTAGACTTGTGATTAACTATGGATAAAGTATAACCAGACTTCGGCGACTTGACTCATGTATTTGTATCCAATATTCTTTGATTGTATCTTTGATTTTTGTCCAAGCAAACCTATAACAAAACGAATAACATACTTGTGCCCCGAGCAAATTATGACTGGCTACCATCATATTAACAGATGCATCAGCACTTGCTAAATCTTCAGATATTTTCAAAAATTTCATGTTGCTCAAACCCTTTCCCTCATATTCTTCAGGTATTAACATTCCAAATAAGCCAAGCTTCTTTAATTCCTGAAAGATTGTTCAAAAATCAAGGTACTTTAAATTTACAAATATCTCCTTTTTTTAATTTTGAATGCTCTGTGGTTCAATGCTAATTTAATCAACTGTAAAAAAAAGTTCAGAGCTGGAGTCAAATCTTCTTCAATCATGAAATCAGGAGCCGTCGTTTATTTAATGGATCAGAGTTAAGAATCAGATAAATATTTTATATTCACAACTCTCAAATGAAAAAAATGAACAAACCTCCACTAATTCTTTAGGTATTTCTGCATCTTCATCAAGTTTCTTTGAATTAATTTCATATGTTGATAAAAAATCATTGATTGGTTTCAAATTTTCGTGAAATTCATTCAACTCCTTGCTGCCTTCAAGAGTTGGATATGGAAACACCCAATTCTATAAAATAAAAATAGCATTGGAATAAATAATCATAAAATGAAATTCCAATTTCCCTTTTAATTTTGGCTTCAGTAAATCAGCTGTTTGAATGAGAAATATACAAAAACTATGATATATTATGAGGTTTTAACAAATCAGGTATAATTGATGTTTAATTTACTTTAGAAATCAAAAAATGAGACTAACCATACTAATTTTTGCATTGTATATTTCTTTAGCAAATGACTTCAAAGTTTCTTTTTTTTCAACTTCAAACACAGAGATTTTTCTTTTAAAATTTGTCCTGCAACCATGTTGCTTCAATAATATCTTTCTTTTTGCACAAGTATGTGCACAACAAGGATGTTGTGAAACATCTGCACATGCTGAAGGAAAGCAGAAAGTTTGAGTGCAATGATACGCCTGGTACATATGACAACATAGTGAGAGGCTGGTGAAACCATGTTAATTTTTCTGTTATTGTGATTTTAAGCATTGAGTAGGCCTACCTTTTCAAATATATTAAACCAACCGTATATGTTATCTGGCAACATGTAACAAACTATTATTTTTTGACATTGGGAATCTTTCCGGTTCACCATTGCCTACTCAATTTATTATGTGGGCAAGGTGTTGAGAACAGAATTTGAACCCAAGATGCGCAACCTGCCTACACTGTTAAAGTCTAACACTTTCACCGTCAATCCATCAACCCCAATACCCGGAAAAAAAGAGGTAACAATATCTCACAATAGTATTATCAACTATCAGTTTCAAAATTAAATTCTATCAATTTATATTACATCTATACCAAAAATAAAATTCTATATTTCATGATCTTTGAATTTTTACCCACTTCAAAAGGGATAAGTTTACTGTCTTTACGTTTCAAATTAATATTAACTCCAAAAGCGCCTATTTGTTAGTTTGAAAATGCTTGACTCACCTATTATTGAAGAAGACTTTCTAAAAGTAGACAACAACCTTATGGTTGAACTTGATGGATACATCCCTCAACTTGATTTATAATAATATTATTAAATTCATCTAAAAATTTAAATGTCTTCAAGTTGAACAAGAATGTACGGGTTTTCGATGGAAGCATTTTGAAAATCTTAGCAAAATAAATGAAGAAGGAAGTGTTGTTACCTATCGTGAATCATCACCTGACTGAATTAGTATGAAGCATGTAATCGGAATTGCAATATCATTAATCAAAATATTTTTAGTAACGCAACAAACTATTAATAGAGGAAACTAAGATTCCTTCCTGTAAAATCTTCTATTTATATTAAACATCACAAAATAATAGGTTCTGATATCTCAATTGCATATATTCTGAGAGTAGGTTGCCAAAAGAATTTTGATGCAATAAAGTGTTATCAGTTCATTCAATAACTTGATCTGGTTATTATTTTGGAAAAACTTATTTGCCTCATCATTCCTCATGTTTATCTCTTACATGATAAATTTGCATAAATTTCATGAAAAATAAGAATAGTTAGCCAATCAGTTTCATGATGGTTTCCTAAATTTAGCTTGATTCCAAACTCTGTACATTTTTATTTGTCTTGCTCTATTGACTTGCAACCTTCTGTCAACGAGATTTTGTTCTTCTATTAAACCAGCATCAGTGAACAAAGTCCGTACTTCATTTTTGGTAAAAAAATAAACCAAAGTTCCGTCTCCACGAGAATAAAAATTGTCACCAAGACATCGATTCGATTTAAACCGCAGTTGTGCCATGTCATACCTCCCATAATCACGAAAAAGTATCACACCACCAGGTTTTAAAAGAGCAGATAATTTTTTAACTGCAGCACCCATTTTGTCCCAAGGTAGGGCGGATAAAACAAAAATCATTATAATGGCGTCTAAAGATTCTTCTGGCATTGGATATGAATTATCGCTAGATATGTCATGAACAAAGGCATAGCATCTATTTTCATCATACAAAGGATTAGATTTTACAATTTCTACCGCAGTAGAGGAGTAGTCGCATGCATACATAAATAGGTCTGAATCATTATTGGTTCGTAATACTGGAAAAACAGTGTTACCAGCCCCACAGCCAATTTCTAGAAACCGTCTAGAAGATTTACAACCAGGAAAAGTTGTTATGGTCAGTTTATTGAACTTTTCGACACATTTCTGAGTATCAGAAGGAATTGCATCTCGTTTTAAAAGTTCTGGAAATTCTGTGAAAAGCCAATGTCTGTCTTTAAAGAATCTGTTATCATGTTTCTCATAAAATTTATTCCATTTTGATGATGCATCTTTTACAATTTCCTCTCCTTCTTTATCTGAAAGTTTTCCAAGAATTTGTTTTTCTACAACACCTCTGGCTTCTTCTTCTTGATTTTCACTCCATTCCACATCATCCCATGCATTATGTTGAAAAACATCACTGTCAGAATTGAGGTATCTCGTCCCAAATTGAGATCGTTTTTCTTGCGGAGTAGCACTTTCAACGTTTTTGTCAGCCATTTTGTTAGGTTTCTAAAAAATGGATGCAGAATTAGAATAATAGACTCTAACGATAGACATAATTATATTAAAACTAAAAATCAATTACAGAATTACACCAGATGTAGGCCTAATGGATACATCATCAATGAACGAATTTATGTAATCAATATACAAGGTAAATGGTCAGATTCTAATACCTCCATTACAATAAAAATTTTACAATTTCAAAATAGAATACCTAATTGTAGCAATTCTAACCTACATAAGGCAAGATGGCCATTCAAAACATTATTCAGAATTGAGATGGGCCAGCATTGGCAAATTGGGCTTAATTTCATAAAATACCTTTAAATTACTTGGCGCGGCGGTGTGGCTCAACGGGCTAAGCGTTAGGAATACGCTCGCCACCGCACCTCTAATCACTCTGCGTGGGTTCGCAGGTTCGAATCCCATGCAGGGATGGTTATGTGCGAGAGGATTGCTGGACTCCTCGCCGTCGTTGGGTGGTTCACGTAACCGCTGGTCGGTTACGGCTTCCTCCACCACCAAGTCCATGCTTCCGAAAACAAACAATACAGTAAAACTAATCCCATACCCGACTTGGAATGGTAACCGGACGAGAGGCCGTGGTTCGCCATATGGATAAGCCGTCCTATCGGCTTTCCTCTCCCCCGGGATAAATAGCCTATGTAAATCCTATCCTATCCTATCATTATCAATTAACATGGTATCTACCGGTATCAAGTTTAAACAACTCTCAAAGATACCCAAAAAAAAATTCATAACTCTGTAACTCAAACAGTTTGTGGGTCACATGTACATGCTACTTCATTGGAAACACATTTTCCTTTAAATTTTATGTTTTAAACTCTGCTTAAGGGTTAAGGGTGTCCTTACCGGTAGCCTTACTGCAGTAGACTACGCCACGGTACGGTACGGTACTATCTTTAGCTTTTCTATGACTAGTCTCTTTATTTCGAAATCTGGAAATAGGTTTTTATTCATTAATGTTTATGAGTTATTTAAATCTTCATCAGTTAGCTGAATATTGAGTCAAAATAAACTAACACTTACCGTATATAATTCGGGAGGCGGACAACTCGACTACACGGACAACTCACCAGAGACAACTCGACTACCTGGTGAGTTGTCAGTCCTTCGCATTTACTACGATGGTGTTTTAGGTCTATAGAAATGCGTTTTTGATATTTTTAGTGCTCAAATGTTGAGAAAAATACATAAATATTCTCTAGAAAGCATTTTTTATTTGTATAAGTGGCTTATTTTAATCATGTTGTATGAATACAAATACAGTCTACATAGGCTTACCATAAATCGGAAACAAAAAACCGGGACGGTGCGATTTGGCAAACATTTGGTCGATTGCCAGTCTTGATAATATTGGAACGTCTACCATGCCATTGCGGGTATATACGGCTGTAAATCTCTACTGATCATTGAATTAGAAAAAACACAAAAAATTAGTTTGTATTATTCATTTAGACCAAAAGTATTTGTCCGCAGACGGAACCTTTCTCAAAAATTCTTGTTTTGATTTTGTCATAAAACTGATAACAAGAGACATCACCATTAAATTTGCAGGTTACGGAGTGGTTTTATATTTTCTTCTGGCATTCTGCACCTGCTTTCGGACCAAAATTTTTTAACAATGGAAAAATCCTTTTAACAGATGCCGATGTTCCGAAAAACAAAATCAACCAATTTGCTGCAAATTCGAAATGCTAATATTTCTGTTAGAAAAAACGTTAAACATCTCTGTCCACTTAATTTCAACCGGCAAAGTGAGTCAAATTGCATTTGAACCATGCTCAGATAAATATCTCTTTATCAGTATTCGTCGAAAAGTGCATCGCTATTCAAAACCTGATCAGCTAACCAAACATATCATTTATCAATTTTGCAGACCACCCCTTCAGTCCAGTTTATTTCACTCTTCAAATTTGTCCATATGTGTGGCCTGGCAGCATTGTAGGCTTCATCGTGCAGCTCTATATACGATAGACATATCTCGTGAAAATCGCAAACATTTTTTTTGAATACAAATTTTTTCCCTGCAAATTTAGCTTCACCTCTGACAGAATATTTACAACATCTACGGCAGGGGTCGGCAACCTTTTGTCGCCCGCGGGCCAAAATTAAGGGTTGCGAGTCATTGGCGGGTCGCACATATTTTTAGAAAGTTGGAACTGAACGGATGATACTTTTTATATTAAAAATCAAGCAGTGATACATCTCTCGAACAGAATATAGATTTATTTCCTCATTGCATCTCAAAAAATTCCATTTGAATATTTTCAGCGCTATTGAACCCTTTGCACTTAGCATCAACTTTTCTGCGTTTTGTTGCCATTCGAGCTTGAAGTAAATCATCATTAAATTCAGAGGAGAACAGCGGAACAATGCACCAACTCTCATTTATTTCTGGCTAAACGTGCAAAATCAGCGAATCCGCTTATCAGACAGCGGACATCAGAAATTCTAACTGTGTATATTTACAAGTTAATGCAAATTTAGCCTCAAAAAAATTTGAAATTAATTTAGAGGTGCAGTCAAAACGTTGGTCATGAATAGCAGTGTGATAGGTAAATGTCGGCTGCCAACGACACAGAATCATCCGAATTTGTTATCGCAAAATTGGTCAGTCGAGTCGATGCCTCGATGTTTTGTGCTTCCTGCTTTGGATATGATCGTTGACATCTGAACGTCCGTCATGACTAATAGAAAAACAGATCTGCAATGCGTACAGTGTACCTTTCCTCCTTCAGTTTGCTTCAAATAAGGAAAATCTTTCTTCAACTCATCAGAAAACTTGTACTTTCTTTTTGGCATTTCGATAACTTAACGACATTGCAGTTAACGCCAGAAAACGCATTAAGACATATACCAATTGTGACATAACAATAGAGCGATTTCTCTCTCTCTGAACTAGCAAAGTGTGTCGCAAAACAGTGGTAAATGGGCTGTCACCGTTAGAAAAAAAATTGTAATAATAATGAAATTGAATTTTTTACCCATGAAAACCGTGCTGACAAACCGGGACATTTGAGTCAACCGGCCGGGACAGCTTGTCAAATCCGGGACTGTCCCGGCTAAACCGGGACGTCTACAGACGAAATTGGAGTAACGTTGGCGAAGTTAGACTGTTGACTCATAGGACTGTGTTCGTTTAATTTTATGAACTTTATTGGTATTAAATGTTTTGAATGAGCACATTTGAATATATTAAAACCTTTATACTTCACAGTAACACTTAAATATTTATGAATGTGAGCTTAGTAGTCTGTGGTTGCAGTAGACTAAACTCGCCTACCGCAGTCGCCCGTCAACTCACCAGTCGAGCAAACGCTCTGCGACGTGACGTCATCGATGCTCGAGGTAAAGACAACTCGACTACCGAGCAACGAGAGGCAGACAACTCACTCACTAGTCGAGCAATCGCTCTGCGATATAGATGCTCGAGGTAAAGACAACTCGACTACCGAGCAACCTCACTAGTCGAGCAATCGCTCTGCGATATCGATGCTCGAGGAGAAGACATTGTTTTGCAAAACGCAGACTCAATAGTTGCATAGCATTTACTTAGTGCCGACTGATATTAGTTGTAAGCCAACTCACCACGGCAAGGTTTCAGTCATAGAGTTGGAATTTCTTTTTGCAGAAGAAAACCAGGAACAGATAGGCACTGTCTCTGCGCCTGGCAAAGAAACTGGGCCGAAGAATGGATAAAAGATGTTTACTTTTTGTTACGATTAATGAATTTAATATGATATTTGAATACTAAACGTTATGGGGAAATTTAATGAATGGAAGGTTTTGTTTTCTTTTTCGTTACGAATATTGAATTTTATTTGAATACTAAACGTTATGGAAAATTTGCTGCGTTACATACTTACTCTTTGCAATACTGCGGCCCGTAGATCCTTGAACACCTCCGAAGAAGAGAGTCCACAGATAACTCTCCTTCCTTAAACTGTTCCCAAACATGTTGCACCCTCTCGTTGGCTTCCGCATACCTGCCGTTGACACGCCCCACAACATTCTCTTCCAAACTATGTATGTACATTTATAATGGATACTGATATAGCGTATGTTACAAATTTTCCTTTTGTTACAGGAGGAATCACTGAAGAGGCTTTGCAACAGGAAGCGACAAAACAACAGACCGTCAGACCCAGATACAATCGAGGAGCCACTGCAACAACAACACATACCAAAGGATTTTTTAGTTGACGACGCTATAGTAAACGGTGCACGTCACATAACCTTTTCAACAAGAAAACAGCTTTCACTCCTGTCGAAGTCAAAAAGCTGGTATATGGATGAGACGTTCGACGTGGTTAAAGACCCATTTTATCAACTTTTTTCTATCCATGCATTCATCAGGAGCGTCGAATGCTCGAAACAAATCCCGTTGGTTTTTGTCCTTATGACCCGGCGCAGGAAAATTGACTACGTCCACATCTTCAATGTAATTAACAACCTACTCACCCTTTCGTTTTCCGGTGCATGTGTGAAGAGATTCGTACTGGACTTCGAAGCCGCAACGTGGAAGGCACTTTCTTCAGTATGGCCGGACGTCGAAAAGCAGGGATGCCCTTTCCACTTCACTCAGGCCATCATGAAGAATGTGCGCCACAATAATTTGGCTCGCCTATACAACAGGTGAGTGGTTAACCATATTTATATATATGTCTTTGTACTTCTTCCACTTCTTTTGTTTTAACATGTTTTATTTTGTTTTAGGGACGCTGGAACAAGAGACCTGATAAAGCATGTCATGGCGCTGTGCTATATACCTGCTATGTTTATCACGTCCACGTTCAAATCACTGAAAGAAAAGATGCATACTCAAGATCTCAAGAACTTCGCCGAATATTTTCAAAACACATGGTTATACAACAGTGTCTGGACTCCCAAGGATTGGTCGGTATTCGACGTAGAAATAAGAACCAACAATCATCTGGAAGGTTGGCACCGCCATTTCAACAGTATAACTCGGAAAAATATGCCTTTTTACAGTTTAATCTCAACAATGTACGAGGTAAGTATAGGGATAGAGGCGGACGTTGTGGATATTTTGGAAGAGAATGTTGTGGGGCGTGTCAACGGCAGGTATGCGGAAGCCAACGAGAGGGTGCAACATGTTTGGGAACAGTTTAAGGAAGGAGAGTTATCTGTCGACTCTCTTCTTCGGAGGTGTTCAAGGATCTACGGGCCGCAGTATTGCAAAGAGTAAGTATGTAACGCAGCAAATTTCCCATAACGTTTAGTATTTGAATAAAATTCAATATTCGTAACGAAAAAGAAAACAAAACCTTCCATCCATTAAATTTCCCCATAACGTTTAGTATTCAAATATCATATTAAATTCATTAATCGTAACAAAAAGTAAACATCTTTTATCCATTCTTCGGCCCAGTTTCTTTGCCAGGCGCAGCGACAGTGCCTATCTGTTCCTGGTTTTCTTCTACAAAAAGAAATTCCAACTCTATGACTGAAACCTTGCCGTGGTGAGTTGGCTTACAACTAATATCTGTCGGCACTAAGTAAATGCTATGCAACTATTGAGTCTGCGTTTTGCAAAGCAATGTCTTCTCCTCGAGCATCGATATCGCAGAGCGATTGCTCGACTAGTGAGTTGTCTGCCTCTCGTTGCTCGGTAGTCGAGTTGTCTTTACCTCGAGCATCGATGACGTCACGTCGCAGAGCGTTTGCTCGACTGGTGAGTTGACGGGCGACTGCCGTAGGCGAGTTTAGACTACTGCAACCACAGACTACTAAGCTTACATTCATAAATATTTAAATGTTACTGTGAAGTATAAAGGTTTTAATATTTTCAAATGTGCTCATTCAAAACATTTAATACCAATAAAGTTCATAAAATTAAACGAACACAGTCCTATAAGTCAACAGTCTAACTTCGCTAACGTTACGGTACTCCAATTTCGTCTGTAGACTGTATTTGTATTCATACAACATGATTAAAATAAGCCACTTATACGGATAAAAATGCTTTCTAAAGAATATTTATGTATTTTTCTCAACATTTGAGCACTAAAAATATCAAAAACGCATTTCTATAGACCTAAAACACCATCGTAGAAAATGCGAAAAGACGGACAACTCACCAGGTCTCCAGGTAGTCGAGTTGTATCTGGTGAGTTGTCCGTGTAGTCGAGTTGTCCGTCAGCCTATAATTCTACCCCAGGGCCGGTATCGATATCCCTCTTGCATTCTTGCCTGTGTTCAGGCAGTCAGGTGCTTATAGCAAACAGTCCTTCCACACGCTGAACAGAACATGTTCTTGTTGCACTGATTCTCATCGACCTTTGACCCAAAATAGGTACCAGTTATTTGCTGAATTATATTTATTACCAAAAACAGTAACATGTTAATTAAAGTTATGTTATTTAGTAAATAAAAAAAAATGTATACATATATTTAATTTTAATCGTTTCAAATTAAAAGGAACTATTACTAAAATAATAAATAATGAGAATACAAAAATCTACTTATACCTAATATTTTGTCCGCTTTTTCTTTCTTACACCACGTCTCATGTCAATCAAATTATGCACTTCTCTGAGGTTGGTTTACTCTGTAAGCGCTCGAGTTCGCAATGATCAGATAATAGGATCTAGTCTATTTGATAAAGTTTTGCAGTGCCTAGAATCCTGTTTTAAGAATTTGTAACGATGTCAGTATCAGTGAGTTTATTTTGACTTAATGGTGATGATAAAGGGAATTCATGAATGAGAAAAAGAACGCACTAAACTGCCAAACGCATGATTACGGTAACAAAAAGTACCGGTAGGAGGCATCCAGGGGAGGTCGCTACGCTACCCGCGAGGGGATATGTATAGAAGTATTTTTAGTAAATTAAGAAGCAGATGTTTGTTTGAAATTTGTTGAAGGACCCGGGTCGTTGCGCCGGACGAATGACGGAAATTCGTCCGGCGCTGTGCCCCCGACTACTCTAGTCTATTAAGAAGTTCAAATACCACGTAATAAACTGACCACCCCTAACCGGAGTCGAATTTTCCCAATTTTAAGGTCCGTAATCACTCAACCGTGACGAATTTTTTTTGACACAAACTAGACCTCAACTACCTTGTATGACCCAAATATGGCACCTCTACCTTTTACCATTCTCGAGATATAACGTAAAATCACTGGAGCGGGACTGAGGTACTGGAGAAAAAAAATTTCTTCTAAAATGGCTTCAAATAATTTTTCTAAACATGCCCATGCCTTTACTTTCCTAATAAGTCCCTTCAGAAGCCTGCAATAAGCCAAAATCACTAAAGCGTGACTGGGGAGTAGGAGAAAAAAAATTTCTTCAAAAAAATATTAAACCATTTTTTCCAACCATGCCCATCTATTTTATTTCTCGATAGCTTCAATTTTAGGTACGCAACCTTCTTACGCCACTGGAGGGCGATTGGGAGGGAGATGCACCGATTATTGGGTAAAGAAAATTGCAATCAGGTATATTCTTCAGAATTAGGCAATACTTTGCCCAAAATCCCATTCACATGCCTCAGAATTGCCTAAAAACAATAGAACCTAAGTGGGCGTGGCTTTGCACAAGTTTTCTCACCACAGAGGCGTGGGGGCACAGCCCCCACCGCCAAAAATACTTGGAAAAATTCCCAATACTCGGGCAAACACTTTCTGGCCCCGGAAACAGAGGCAAACGGCCTCTAAACCCCAAACTCACTCTTGCGTGACTTGACTGACAGCTGATTGACCAATAAGCAGCTCCGGGCCACTAAAATCTCGTTTTGGCCCACTTCCTTTGGCCCGATCGCTCCCAAAAATTTTCTGTGTTCGTTTGGTAACTACCTCCCGCTTCATGCCAAATTTCGTCCCGATTGGTCCGCCAGTTTTCTGGGAAATGGTAATTCTAACGCCATCTCTTAACAGACTTCGTCACATTATTTTTGCTCTACGAGCAAAGGCTTTCGACCACTACTGTGCTTTCGCACTAAAGTGCTACAAGTTTGCCTAACCATCGAGGAACCGAACGAGACTTGTAATTAGTTAATTGAAGAATCACATAATGCAAATTGGAAAACCTATAAACATAGATTACATTGCTAATTTTGGCCTCAAATTGACTTCCTCTTTAAAGTTGCTTGGTGTAAACATTCCTGTTGACTTATCCAAGTTATTTGATGTAAATTTCCCCCAAATCATAAACAAGGCAAAAAATATTATTCAAGTATGGAAAATGAGGAATCTTACATTATTAGGTAAGGTGTGTATTATTAAGACATTAATTGCTTCTCTTTTCACTTACAGTTTTACGTATATACCCGCTTCTATACCAGATAGATATATAAAGTCACTGAATGCTGCATTATATCATTTTTTATGGAACTCCAATTGGGAACGAGTCAAACGAAAAACATTAATTGGTCCAAAAATGTTGGGTGGGATTGACATGATTGATGTACATAGCTTTATAATAGCACAAAAAATTAAGTGGGTGGGATTTCTATTAGACGATGCCAAAGTTTGTAAGTGGAAACTTGTTGAATTTAATTATTTGAATGATTTAGATTTAGCATCCTTGTTAAAGGGAAATTTATTTCGGAACTCTCATTTTATCAAAAATATTCCATTTATCACTATTAAGGACATGTTAGTATACTGGTATAACTTTAAAAATATTGTTACAAATGTACATATACTCAATCAATCCATATGGTACAATAGAAAGTTGCAATACAGTAGAAAACCTTTTTATATTTCAACATGGAAAGAGCATGGTATTTCTGAATTGAAACACTTGATTTCAAGCAATACTTTTTATACTTATTTCGAGTTAATTAGTAAATATTGCATGCCATATAATGCTAATGATTATAAAACTTATTACAAAATCATAGGCAGTATTCCTGAGGAATGGAATGAGATTGCTCAATCATGTGATGACTTTTGTGATTTTGATTTTAGTGCATTCCTTTCATTCACTACAAAAAACTTCTCATGTAAAAATGCATATAGAATAATGATTGGAAAAATATTTGTCCCACCAGACATGTACAAATCCTTTTGGCAGGAATCTTTTAATATCCCTTGTGTGGAATGGAACAAGTATTTCACAAACTCATATTTATCAACTATTGAAACAAAACTTAGATCTTTTCAAATTAAATTTTTTTATAAAGCTAGAGTTCTGAATAATGTTTTATATGGATTCGGACTAGTGGAAACAAACCTCTGTGAATTCTGTAAATTACATATTGAAACCCTTTTGCATTTATTTTATAATTGTCCAATCACCAGTGAATTTTGGTCTGACATAGACCAATGGATTGTCTTTAAGACCGATAACTTGAATTTTAATCTTGGAATGAAAGAATGTTTTATTGGCTTCGATGACATTTCTGATATGCAATTCATCAACTGTGTGCTGTTAGCTGCACGTTTCTTTATATATAGATGTCGGATTCAAAAGCGTAAACCAGTTTTTGATGTTTTTAATAAATTCATTTCTGATATTCGAAACAATGAGAAATATATCGCAATGAAAAATGGTAAAATCATGATACATAATACAAAATGGCGTTTATTTATATAATCATTGATTACTTAGCTTAAACCTGACAACTGTGTTTTTGTTCTAATTTGTTTATAGTCTTTATATAGCCTAATATATGTTTAAAAGTGTGAGATTTAGAAAAAGAAAAAAAAATAATTCTCTCATGTTTATTCTGTAAGATAATTTGATTACAACTGTTATGTTCATGTTATGAAAAAATACTCTTATGTCTGTGTTATTGAGTAATATTACTATTTATTTATTTCTATGTTTTTATGTATAAAATCCAAAATTATCTGTGGAATGGTTAAAGGAATTTATTAATATTGTTTGCTGCTATATAATGTTTTATAATTTATGAAAATCCAAAAAATGCATGTCCTATAGAGTGATCTGAAATGATATTGTTATTTATTGTTTTTTTGATTTTGAGCGATATTGTTTATTGCAATATTGTTTTTATTTAATAAAAATCCAATAAAAAAATAAATAAAAAATAAAATAATTGAAGAATTTCACTCCGCACCTCACCATGATACATTTACTGATTTATGTGACTGTTTGTCGGCTACCGGTATGTCTTTCTTCACCATTATGCCATTAGTCTGAAACAATAAATTCTGGTACCTACCGGTAATTACAGAATTAGGTAAGGATTCCAAATTCTGACAGATGGTAAGCCACTGGTGTCAGGCAACTTGCCATGCGGCGGAGGTCAACGGGTTGTTAGCCTACTACAGTACTAAGGATTCACTTGTCCTACAGGGTTGGGAAAGTACCATAATCATTTTACATAAAATATCGCTGACATATAAATATGCCGAGTCATTACCTTTACTGCTGATTTGTCAATCCATTTTTTAAACTTATTGATATACAAATTTAATGTTAATATATAGCCTATTAACATGATAATTGCACTTAGACTACCGGTATAGGCTATCAACTATATTTTCTTTCCCATTGCAGTGTTGGGAGATCAGTAATTATATAATTTAACAGGTTTTGTTATTTTCTGCACACTCCCAATAGTATGGTTTTAGAGTTCTTGCTACATCTTTCTGTCTTTACCATAGTTGTGCCTCTTTATATAATGTTATAAATATAACTTTGTTTTCCATTTTCTCTTCAGAGTATAAAATTTAATCATGAATAGTTTTCTGTCTCGTGCAAACTCTGTATTTGCATTTAGTTTGAGTGTGACTGCTGCCCTGACCTTTGCATGCTTTTTGACAACTAATTTTCTAGACTACGGAGAAAAAGTTGAAATCAAAGTAAGCGATGCAATCGTGAGAAATATAGAAGACTTCAATGCTCACAGACAGAAAAATGATTTGGGGAGTTTGTCATTCGATTTGAAAGCAGATTTGACTCCGGTTTTCAACTGGAATCTGAAACAACTGTTCCTCTACCTTTTGGCGGAATACGAAACTAAAAACAACAAAGTAAACCAAGTTGTTTTATGGGACAAGATCATAATGCGAGGACAAAATGCCAAAATAGATCTCAAAAACATGCATACTTTGTACTACTTCTTTGATGATGGACATGGACTGAAAGGGAATCAAAATGTGACTATTACTTTGAGATGGAACTTAGTTCCAAATGCTGGGTACTTAGGATTGGTTACAGGAACAGGAAACCACCAGTTTGCATTTCCAAAAACATATGCATCATCCAGAAGGCAATAATTTTTTGCAAATGCAGTTCTGCCATACTTTTTTTTATTAATATTGTATTGTGTCTGTATAAAAGACTAAAGATAAATAGGAAATTCAAAAATATTTCAATGCAAATTGAGCCTGTACGTTCATTTGCTTTCAACATCTCTCTTTTTCTAATTCAAGGGTCATGATCTTAACTTTATAGGACATTGCTGGATTTTCAATCATGATAATTGATTTCTTGGTTAGGGATAAATTCAGATGTTATCAAAGTGTGCAGACTTTACAAGTTGATATATTCTGACAAATTGAGTTTAACTTAAGTTGTGTGTGCTTTTCAAGAGATATAAACTCCAAATTGGTGCAATGGTCCACTGGTTGAATTACACCATTCATGACTTTTGGGCCTTTTTTACTCATTTTGGCATTCAATTGATTTTCTTGCCTTGTATTATTCAGTGGAAATCGTCTTCGTTTTGATCAGTGTTTATATTTTTGAGATTATAATTAGATTCAGTCCTTGAATATTCAAATTTCTTCTCATTCATTTTCATAGCCTCACTGCTACTGTATTTTTCTATCCAGTTGCCACAAAATGGTTTTTAGTCCACCAAAGCGCAACTAATATGGCCTTTTTTTGAGTACTTGGATTAGATTTTATGCCTGATCATAAATCAAAAGATAGAAAGGGCTGTGTTTTTCAAATTTGTTGGGAATAATTGATGGTTTGAACGTCTTGTTATGAAATGCATGAAATATGGTCCTACTTTTATGGTAGAATTTGTGCTTATTCAGTTATATTTTGATGTTTTTGTGTGAATGGAACTAAGGAAATGAAATCTCAGCATTGTTGTAGAGTTCTTTAAAAATAGGTAAAGATATTTATTGAGACTCCTACTGCTACTTTTTACGAATTGCTCCAGGTATGGAATTAGGTAGAAAGTGAGGAAATGGATCATTTGGGAAAATTATTGAAGCCATAATAATTGTTCTTCTATTTAGCGTCTGGGCCAATTACTTTCGAATCCCAGGTACTTACTAGCTAATTCGCATGTAACATGAATGACCCCCATCCATAAAATCACTCTTCAAAAAGTTAACCTAAATCCTTCACCTGGGGAATGCCCTCCCCACATACAGATGTTCCGGTGTGATAGCACTGGCAGTGTTGAATTGAACCAGTCTCGGGTCAGTCACTATATACTGCCATCTCGGTTGTGATAATTAGGCATAGATTCAGCCGTTAGCGCAGTGGTTCCAACTTTTACGAGCCTGCCGAACCCTTACGCTATATTTCAAGCTCCCGTCGAACCCCATTATATAGAACGATTGAAACTAGGAGTGCAATTAGACCTTTATTTAGTGGAAGCTAATTTTGTGCGAAGTTATTGAAGAATGATCATTGTGGTGTTACATAAGATGAAGAAGCCCTGTATGGAAATAGCCATTGCCATGTCACACTGGAGTTCGCGGCAGGGAAAGTGAACGTTTTTGTGGGGTTGAAAAGGCGGAAAACTGATAAAAATGATATATCGCCATATATAATCCACACCAGAATTATCTTTCGAGTATTTTTTGAAATATACCTCAATGTGTTGTTTGGGGTAAGTGGGCACGTGTATCATCAGCACGTCCTAAATCTTTTCAGAATCTGCCTACTTTCCTGATTTTCCGTATATTTGTTTGTTCTGCACTGTATTGTTTATGTGTAAAATCAAAACAAACTTATTTACATACTTCCTAATGTAGCTATTCAGAATATATACAGTGATGGGATTAGGGGGGGTTGCAAGAAACATAATTGGAATGTCGCGGTGATCAAGGAAACCGTTCTTACCTTTTTGTTAGACGTTAGATGACCACAGAAAACAAGTAACCTGCGTTGTGCTTAGCGGTTCAAAAGTTATGTATGTTGATTTTTGTAAGGCATGTCGTGTTAATAATCTCTGAATGTAGCTTACGTAGAGACATACATTAGTGAATGTGACCTTTAAGTTGTTGTAATCTTATGTTTCGTTTTTTATTTGTATAGGGCTACAAGGTTTTTGGAAAGTTGAAAACAAAAAAAAGTGTTTCTAAAACTTTGAATTCCACCACTGTATATCTCTATATGACCTCTAGCTTGATCCGCATTAACATTCTGTTTAATCATATTAATAACCATTATTGCTATTGCTCATGAAATGAACGCACTGTTACGCCCATTGGGGTGCTGTTGCGCCATTCATTACTGTGCTTGTTTTTTTTGAACGATCAAATGTAATAATTTTTAGGTTTTTGCTCTCTAAAAGTTCATCTCAGGGTGTCGCTGACGCCATGACTTTCGCAGTGCCTTGTGCAAATGACTTTTCATGGTGTATCATTTTATTTTTAATATTTTAATTCCTTTATACACTTTTGAGCCTTTTCGGCCATTAATTTTTGCTTTGATTTCTGCGTAGTATAAACAAATAGCAGAATCTCAATCTATCTGTATCCTCTTAGTCGCTCACAAGTAGTCTTTTTCGTTTGTTAATGCCAATCTCGCGTGTCAGATTGAGATCCATACAAGGCCGCGTGTGAGAGCATCTCTAGTTTTTGGTTATACTGAAAAGGCACCGACAACGACTCTCTTAGACGAAAACAGATTTGATGCAAGCTGACCGACCGACGTAACATAAATCGACCTACAATTAAAAACATTTTATTATGCAATTGTGATAACACAATAAGGGGGTTGTGTGGTCGTTCTTGGAAACTTGTCTAGCGAGAAGCGAATAAAAATTGATTCACGAGCAGAAAAATCCGAAGCCTGCTCGATTACCGGTATTTCACGAAACCTTGTTTTACAGATTATGATGTTAATGTCAGAATCAAAACCGATTTGTTTATTTTTGTTTCATTTTAATGAATACAAAATCTATTTGAAAAGTTTTGTCAAAAGAAATGAACATAATCACTTTGCACGAATTGAAATATATATTTGTTCGGATAATACAGGAAAAAAATTCTATTCGAGTTGGTCTGGCAATTATATGAGATAATTATTTGCGGTAGCAGGATGGAGTTTACAGAATAACTTCTTTCATTAGCAATGCCGTTCATAAGCAAGGTTTATGGGAGACTGATTTTTGAATGTCCAATCGTTAATTCGTTATTCCTCCTGGTACATTGAGCAGAAAAGCTATCGTATGAAATAGTACACTCTGTATTATTCTGCATCTTAACCTACTTGTGAAGAAATCAGAAACAATACAGAAGTCGTTTAGGACGAATTTCTCTCATACCAACCGTCGATCTTCTTCATTTATCATTTTCTTGGCGTTCCTATGAATTATTAATACAGAATGCGACGCGAATTAAGGGCCAACTACTAACATAGAGCATTCTGTGCTTTTTATGCGCATCAGAGCCATAAGTACCTTGTGTTTATTGTGGGTTCTCTTCGTTTTGAGATTTGTATTCTTAAGAGTTATTGTGTTTTCCAGCTTGTTTCGATTATTAGTCCGATGACAACATTGCATATTTTGAGGGGCATGGGGAATGGAAGAGCATAAAATATAATTTTAAACTATATTTCAGAGTGCAATGCAATGGTAATATCGAGACATACGTGAGTTACAATCGTAACAAAATTATATATCAAGTTTTGTTGCATAATATTCTGATGTTACTGAGATTTGAGTCGAATCCGAGATTTTCATGACTGTACCTTAATTTTCAGTTCAGCCATAATTCTGAAGATATATTATCGTGTTACGTTTTGAATCAGTATTTGCTTGTCTAGGGTCGTGACGAGAGAAAAGCTTTGAAACACCTCCTAAAAGTTTTAAAATTGACTTCATCATTAGTTTCGCCCACCTAGGCCTGACGTAAATCGATTTACTTAAATTTGCCCGTCCTGCTCTAACCGTTTTCACAATTTTGTGCTTAGCTAGCAATTCCAACCGGAAAAAGTTCTTAAGATGTTAAACCGCATAGTAGGCCTAAATTTCCCCATCTCAAGAGCCTATAACACCTGTAAATCATATATATATATATATATATATCCACATATGCATATCTTATAAAAAGTATTAGATTTTAAAAAAACTATTTTTAAAGAGCTTATTCTTGTAATGATGATTGTTCAAATTCAGTTGTCTTGCAACACTCTAGAATTTGCGCATTTTAATATTGGACTATAATTTATTCAATCGTGAACTGGCAAATACTTTTAACTTGTGAATATATGTGTAATTTGTTTGTGGACTGGCTATATATACTTACAGATTTCTGAGAATCAATCATTAGATTTTAACTTTAGGTAGCCATTAATTTTTCCTATAAGACTACACTCAACGATGTTGGGAGTGGTCGAATGGCGATATCTCCCTTGCAATGATTGAGATTCACGCTTACGTTTCAGCAAGATTTAATAGTATTTATTTCCCTTCTATACTCAGCAGTACAAAATTGCTATCTGCTAACTTGACTGTGAATATTATTCATAATCATTACTTGATAATGATATTCTCAGAAAAGTAACTAAAAAATAAATAGAATTTCCCGTGGGAATATTTCCCAGACGAGAAATTACTTTTCTATTTTAATGACATGGTAAGGATTTGGTGAGTAATACCTATTATGAAGTAAACCCTGTGCTATATACCATCAAAGTTAATGGAGTCACGCACCAGGCCTTGATGTAGTCTATAGTTAGAGAATTTTCTTGATTAAATTTATCCCATTGACAGTTTTTCAACTTATTCAGCATTCTTGAATATTTATTGGAAGGTACGAAAACGTTTAGTTGTATTCTCCGAAAGAGTTGCGCCGTCGTTCCATATTCGACATTCTGCCAGTTTTTTCAATCTATAATACATTAATATTACTGATAGAAATTGAATACCATTGATGACAATATGCGATGAAATTGCATTTCGCGTGATGAACATCGATAGTTTAGTTGTCGCCGATTCGTTTTTATCTTCATCGATTTATCACAAAATTGATCGATCGTTTGAAACTATTCGACATCTTTTAAATCTGCGATATTGACTCGCAAAGGTGAAATGCGTAAGAGTTCAGTAACTGTCGTCAACTTCAAATTGGCGGTTTTCGGAAGCCCACGAACGTTTTAAGTAATTAAATACAGAATTATTTGTGTTGCGCTGAAAAGTTTTCAATCAAAATATTGTCAAAATTGGAAGGCATTGTCAGTTATATAGCTAAAGGTTTGAAGAAATATCATCTTGACTGATGAATTAGCCAAATAAAGCATTTTGAATATTGTTTTAGTCAGTCTTATCTATAAATTATCTCATGGTATATATCATTGGAAGAAGAATTATATTACATTATTAGGGAGAAGAATATAAAGGTGAATAATATAAGTAACCAACTGCACGATGAAAAGTTGCTAATATTGGTAGAAATAACTTTACCGTCATAAAGGAATGGGCTAAATCTTCAGAACATAACTTATTTCTTATGGATGCAGTCCATGAGTGAAGTTACTGTATATATATTGAAGCTGTCAGTGTCACATAATAATGAAATAACCGAAAGAACAATAAATATTTTGCTATTGCTATACTGCAGGCATGCGAAAGCGAGGCTTACATTTTTTGTAAGTAAATAAAATTTATGCGCTGTATAGAACTCAAAAGTGTCTTTTAATATGTGCGGATGTAAAAAAATGAGTGAAATAGATCTTATCAGAATTTCTGTTATGTTACCTTATATTATTCACGTTCGAGCTGACATTCCATAGCTTGGCAGCTATACTAAAATCCTTGTCCTATATCCGATAAGATTTGTCTATATTTATCTGTCAATCTGAAACGCACCTCGCGCATTCAAGTTGCAATGAATAATTTAATAAAGAATCCAGACTGTGTTCGACTTCACATCTGCAACCAATATATTAGATAAACTTTTGCCGTATGCGTCATAAATATATTCTCGTTTTGTGCGTGATAGCTAATGAGTCGTAAGAAGTGTCATGAAGACTTCTGATTTGTGCAAACTGATGTCGTACAGCTACTTTCCAGATTGCGTAAAGATTAACTTATCAATGTTCACGGTTTCTAAAATCAATTGCAACGAAGCTTTCTTTATCAGTTATCCGTGATCCTCATCAGTCACCAATGGCACATACAAATGCCAGTGAGATTATGTAACTGCAGTATACAGGGCACAACTCCTAAATACTAACTTTTCAGAAGTTATCAGTCATGCAAATTGATTTATTGAAGTGAAGCAACCTCACGATTTTTTTCGAAAATAAAATCGGATTACATTCCAATGAAATATTGATTTGTTCTGTTTGCAGATAGTACAACCAGTGGGCTTGCCTACTTTCCATACCGTTATTTTAATGGCAGTTCAGGTTGGTTCTGTTTTTTGTATCAGCCATTAGGCAATGAATAACGTACATATATTTTCAAAGGCAGGGTGATTTCATCGTAAATTTGACAATTTTCATACGAATTCGACTACTGTTACCGTGTTGCACGCTTGCTTTACTTAGAAATTATTGAAAAACTGAACGGGCCATTATGCAGTCGGCTATGAACTTTTTGAAGCGAAGACTCTCTGAGAACAGTTTTACCAGCAATCTTCCAAACGGATATCTTGTGGATCTGGGAGATGAACCTCAAAGACCGCCAGTACCGGTAGCCACGAGTGGAAGCGCGGAAGTGGAGTTATCGCGCGATCAACAGGTGACACCAGCTCCTATATCGCATGAGAGAATTCCCAAAACAGATGTCGTTACAGGTGCTTTTAAACTTATTATTTCATTTTTAGTACTCTAACTGTGCAAATTTGCAAGATATGTGTCTGATCGAATTGAAATAAAGATTCTCACGAAACTTAGATTTTGGCGAAATTGTTGAATATAGATTTTTTCCCCATAGCAAGAAATATTTCAATCTCACCCTGCTTTTTCATTGGTCACTACTTAGGTTCTCGGAGGCTTGGAAGTTTGTTGTTAGCAATCGTGCGCATTTTATCACGTGCGTGGCGTTCCCTAACTTTCCCAGCATGATACTTTACAATGTACTTACCAGATTCTGCATCTTCGAACCAGCAATCTGGAGGATTCTTTTCTTCTTTCACATCCGGTAATCCACTGTCAAGAATGAAACAGGAAACGGAACAGGCGAGCAAGACGAAAACGCTTCTTGCTATTGACGACCGACATACTGACTGGTAAATAACTAATTATTTTGTTGATGGACAAATTAAAACAGTAGATAATAATATATAGATAGATAGGATTGAATCGTCCAATGTCAATAGCGGCTTTCTTGAAACAACCCAACCGCTCACATTTTCGTTATCAAAACGTTTGGGAAGTATGATGGACTGGCAACATTCAGGCAAATAATTTACTATAATGGTAACATTATGCTGCGGGTCGCCTTGAGATACCAACAGAAGTACATGTGGGTGAATATATAGAGTTCTTTGTCTTTTTTCAAATAGTGATAACAAATATTGAAGAAATTCGAATAGTTTCACCAAAGTTAATGATTTATTTATAATTTCATATCTTATTCATTACTGAATGTCTGGTATACTTGATGACTTGATAACGAGACTAATAGTCACATTTTTTAATGATATTTGTTATATGATTTTGACAGGACAAAATATTTCCGAGGGAAGAAAATTCATGATTTCACTATACGTGTCGAACAGGTAAGAGGATTATGATCAATACATAGATTCTTGTGCAGTAGGTGAGCCCGTTGCATCTGTGCATATACCAGAAGTGCAAAATTATGCGCACTGAAAGATTTTGAAAATAACCTCATTTCACGGTGCTTCAAAATTGTTTCTTCTACGTGTTATACGCAAGGCTTGGTTATGGACTTTTCCACTGGACTCCTTCTCAACCATGTTCTGCATCTAAAACATTTTTCACTCGACTTATTCAAAATACTTGTATCAATACGTAAATGCACTCGAATCAAATATTCTCCATATAACGTATTTTGAAAAAGCCGTAAGTTTTAATTGCTTTTACATTTAGAAAATAAAATATTTATAACACGATCTTATATTTCGTCAAATGTATGCTTCAAATGAGTCTGTGGTTATTTACCGTATTTTGCGGTTAATCCCTGTTCCAAAGTCTAGGCATAACGATTTCAGCTTCACTTCATAGTAATAATCATGGCTCTTAGATATCCCAAAGTTATAATGGTATATATATACCGCACCTACTTACCAAGGCAAATCTTAAAATGAAAAACAACAACTCCTTGGTGTTATCAGTCAAAAAGCCGAACAATGATCAATGAAAATCCCTGGAATCGATTTTTTGATTTTACGCTTTGCAGTTTTTTGATCGACCATTGATCAGATAAAATATCTAAAATACGCATTTGGTCAAAGCAGTGATGCAGTACGTTGTTGTGTTCAAATTACTGTATTAATATTGTGATCCAGTTCTTCCAAGTGACCGTATTTTAAATACTCTTAAAAAGCACTTGCGGCGTCCGCTTTTTTGATATCGCTCGTTCTGTATGGTTAATAGTGGGTTTATCATTTTTCGCAATTTATGACAAATAGATTGCCATAAGATTTATCACATATTTATCATATATCATATCAAGACTTTTAACGTTTAAAACTTTCTGTATTTATTATAATGAAGTGATACAAATTGGTCCATTTTGTTCAGGCCATATTCCCGAAATTTTTAATTTCTAAAATATTCAATTTGGGCGTGGTTCACGGTTATCTTAGGTCAATCAATAGTGATTACTGATTTTAGTATGATAATGAATTCTAAGTATTTTGAATTCATTCTAAGTTAACATGGAGCCAAATATTTCTTTTTAAATTGCGTAACTTCAAATCGATATAAAAGAGTAAAGGAAATCGATTAGACAATAAATATAAGAAATATATAGATAGACCTACTGTTATTGTCCGACATGTATTTAGTTACTTGAGATGGAAATCGGGCAATCATTTTGTTCGATACTGTTGTCACGTATATGGGGACTTCTATGACTCATGGTTATTGAAAAATATATGTATTTTGACTTCTGACAGGCCACCTTTGATGAAATCACGGTCACGGCAAATAGTGCGGAAGGTGTCACAGTTGATATCAGATGTGTGCGAGCAGGAAGCAAAATATCAAAGTGAGTACCTGCTTCATTTCTTTCTATTTTCCTATTGGTGCTCAGGCGCCTCTTTTTACTTTTCATTTGTCCTTGTTTACCCCCGTGTTCTCCTTGAAGGTTTAAAATTTATTTTACAATCACATTTATAACATTCTATCGAAAAATAATTGATTTTAGATCATTCAAACCACATTTTTTGTTGATCCGACAATCGCCTCGATCAATGGCTGAAGGAGAAGATTTCCGGAATCTAATAATCGGTTTCAAATATGGCGGAATTCCATCGGTTAATTCACTTCATTCAATTTATAATTTCTTGGATCGACCTTGGACGGTAAAGCTTTAGAATAAATTGATTCATAGCATTACTAAATGTCATATTTGAACAGCAAATTCAAATTTATAGTCGAACATGATATACATTTATATATATATATATATATATGAAGTTCATATGTGAAAAAATCAGAAAATACCACAAAATAATTTTTTGCTAAGTTACAGTTCATGTGCAATAGATTTGGATTCAGAGTCTTGATGTAAACCGGTGTTTACTGATTTTTTGTCGCATCATGATAGCAGTTTGAAATTCTTTCTTCAGTCGGTATTATTCCTAGTATTGGTCGGGGTTCCGTCATTTTTGCTTGAAAAGTCGGAGTCGAAATAATCGACTTGTCTAATTGTTATGTAATTGGAATCCCGAAATAACACTTGTTCCTTTTTTACTAAATTTACCTTTAGAATCGCTTCGAAACGTGCATCAACCTTACTGTCTTCTAATAACTCTTTGGTTGATGTTTTTTTACCCTATTTTGTGTGAAACGTGGTGAAAGTATAGTTTTCTTGTTTATAGAAACCCCTGACAAACACAAATAGAGTTACGTCGTTGATATGAAACCCATTACCTCTTATTAACTTAACAAAATTGCATTGTTGAGAAAAGAATAAACTTTTTGGTTTTTATTTATGTCTCTTTTGGTGTCACACTCATCAGACCTGAAAGCATTTCACAATGTTAATTTCATCCAACCTAACCAATTTCATTACATTTGGGTTAATACTAGGAAACTTCATTTCAGTAATGTTTTTTTTATCCTGGTGGGAATACTTCTTGGAACAACAATTTGATCAGAAAGAGTATATAAATCGATTAAACAGTATATATATATTAAAATTATCGACGGGAATATAATTAATTAAGTTGCATGAAGTCGATGTTGAACAATGACTGAGGCGCTTGGGCTACTGTAGAGCACAGCATTATGACTTTAGTTATCAGAAATTCATATGTTGGCTTGAATACTATTTGGAAAAATATTTACGGTCTTACGTGACCCTTGGAGTGTCATGCTTATTTGATATTCCTTACACAAGTTGTTCAGTGTGACTATGCTCTTTACTAACACCCTTACCGTAATTTTTCGTCTGTTATCAATAATAAGAGAATGTTTGGAGTGCAATCATTTTTATCATGATGACCTCGAAAATTTAACAAATTATTATGTGACATTATATCGGCCTCGATCTGGTATTCAACAATAAGGATAAGCAGGGTGTTCATAAAGTTCCGTTACAACTTCAATTTTGTTATGGAATCAGTTTTATATCTTAATAATGTTTATTTTATTTTTATCAATGTTTATTTAAGATATTTTCATCACTTCGTTTAATATGGTATCGATGAATTCCGTTAGCAATTTCAAAAAATTAAAACTTTATGAAAACCCTGTATTTGTGTTTTCGAGGCAATCAAGAATAAATGCCAAATAACTAACGTTTGTGATAATGCTTGGCTCTGTATTTTAAATCTTCGTGATTTTAATATACTCCCCTTCATTCAGTTTGCTCAGCTCATACGCATACAGAAAAGATTGGGGTCTGACAAGTTTCCATTGATTTCACAAACTTATTATCCAGCCGGAAAAGATATGGTAAATGGGATTTTATTTCTTTCTCTATAACAAAACATAAGTATATTGTATAAAAATTCAGAGATATATTGTAATCAAAGGAATGTTCAGCCAGTGTAGACCGAAGATCTGTGCACAATCTGTTCGCTTGGTGAATCGATATTTCCAATAACTTTAAGTTTAACAGACAATTCCTAAGCCTACTAAAAGTTGATGCTGTCATTGTTAGTGTTATCTTAGTTTGCACAAAGCGTTACAATCTTTTAGGTAGCTCTTTTTTATGTAAGTCATTGATGAACGCTAATATTCACAATGTATTGGTGAAGTGTTGTTTGGTAGAAAGTCACACACTCATTACTTTAATTCGACTTATTCTAATAAATTTTTCAAATGAATCATACCACATCTTTTAACCTTTATTAAAGTAATATAGAACTTGATTTTTATGTCGCTCGTATTTAATTTCACAAATTTAATCAAACAAAAACGCCGGATTAAACCCCACGCACCGCTGCTGTGCGCCTATAATAGTCTTGGACTCGTGAACATGCACTACGAGGCCACATACAATTTTTGTAATAATGTATAATTAATATTAATTATTTATAACATTTATTAGAGAAATATGAAATGAGTTTGAGTGTAATTCAGATAAAATATTAGGCCTTGCGTGCAGCGCACAGAATGAAGATCGTGCTGCGCATTGCTGTAAATTTCATATTCTTTAGGTCATCAGGCTAAAGAGAACTTGCTCTACATCAAACACACTTGTATACCACGTCGATATGCGTTCTCCCCCAGGAGCGAGCAAAGTAGTATAAGTTGTATACTGTCATGATGCAGAAAATGTGATTAACATCGCTAATTATCGGTCTTTTATATTATTGGCGTCGTGCCACCTCTGTGTCTATGTATTTAATTCCCATGTGCGATGAATAATGGTGGTCAATATTCGCAAGATTTTTTGGGAATTTATTTGCCGAGGAGTTTGTTTTATCCAATCCCCAAATCTTTCCATAGTTGTTTCTGATAAGGTATAAAAAATGATCCTTGAAAACTTTTTATTAAACAACTATTTTATAAAAATGTTTGTATGTTTATTTGCCCCCAAAAGTTAACAGTATATGCATACAAATTAAACAGTATAACAGAGGCGCGATACATGTGGTAGACCTCACCGGCCCAAGACACAGTCGCGAGATATGTGCCCCTCACAAGTTTCAGTTGCATAGTTGCAGTTTATGACTGCTTTGTTCTAATAAGACAACAGACATGAAATAGCTAAAATATACAATATATACCTCATTCTACAATTAACTATATTGTAATTGATTGAATCGTATTTTGGCCATGTTTACGTAAAATATGGATGGCTCCGGAATATGATTGGGTTTTACTGAATACTTTTTACTGCTTTCAATCATAACTCATTCCTTTCCAGTTAGTGCCATTTCACGTTTTTGTAAAATGCGGAATGTTACTCTCATAACCATAATTTTTGTACAAACGCAACGCGAATTTGAAGTTTTGATTTAATAATTTGCTAGTTGCGTATGCATTGTGCACCAGGATGCATATTGTTTGTCAAAACGATGTCTCACCGTAAGAAGATTCTCATTTGCTTTTAACATTTTGAGTATCAATATCAACTAGGTTGATTTACTTTCAATCTATTTTTGCATTGGTATGAAAATACACCGATTTAAACCTCATAATAATATAGCAACTACTTTCCACCGTGATACGCGTGGTACTGAAATATTACTGCGCGGGTTGTGGTGTGAGCTTAATCGAAAAATAGTTAGCCATCACGCACGCTGGCCATCCAGGGCAGGAACCCCGCTATTAGAATTCAACTTTGCCAATACCCCCCTTTTATAAGTTCCACATTACATGTCGAACTAATTTATTTGTTTTTGTATCGTTTCACCTTTTATTTTTCATAATTTTATAAAGTGTGTGGAAAACAAAAAATAGTGAGGATGAAAAATAGGGGGAAATAAGAAAGAACAAAGAATAATAAATTTGAACGCATTTACAATAAAAATGGCAGTTATTTACACTATACAGTGCCCTCATACGCCATAAAGCAAAGTTTGACAATACACACGGCCGGAATGTTCCAGTAGTTTTATCTCACAGTAAAGCAATACTCATTGGGACGAGGTGCAAAACGAGTTCGTAGACACTTGCGGCACTAATGAGTCGCGCGCCATTGGAAATCATTCATTCATGTCGTGACTCGTAACAGTATTATATCGGAATGTATCGCGAGAGCCGGAGGTTTCAGTTTTTCCATCGCATTACAACATCAAATTATGGCAGAAGATGTACGATTTCTCTCAGTTGAGATTCAGCTCTTGATGTGGAATGATGCCTTCTACGTCTACGACGTCTTTTTGTGTTGGTGAGAGCGTTGTTCCACGTACATTTTGCATCCTGTTTACCAGGTTCTCGCGTACAAGCGTAATTTGCTGGGTGGATATTGAGTTTCAAACTTGTCATCTCCATTTCTGAAGTCCACATACAAGAGTCTTTGTCCTAGAATGAAAAATAGGAATAATGAATTATTGAAGTTTCCTGGCTTCACAGGTTCGTGCTAACATTTTATCTTGGTTTTTGTGTGACTAACACCGAATAGTGAACTTACCGGCTTCCCACAGATTGACCAGGTACATGTTTGTATTTCGCACGACGATGCGCACGTCTGCTTAGCGTTACGCATGTTACGACGTATCACACGTTTTTGCTTTGAATCAAGATTATTCCATCTGATCACGCGGTCGCACAATCCAATGTTCAGTCGGTCCCCGTCAATGTCACCTGAGGAGAAAGAATAAACGTTAAAGAGATTACATACACAGTTGAAGTACCTGAATTTCACCTAAAGTTGTTGCTTATTCAACATATCAATATTTCAAATTAGGTGCATCGGACGGCACTTGAATATTCGAGTTCAAATTGCGCTTACCTATTAGAAGATACATCTCTTTTGTATTCAATTTTATTCCACACATTCCTTCATCGGGCGCTGTGTAAATGTACATTTTCTTGCCCTGAGTTTCTTCCGGTTTAAGACCTTTGTATGTCTGAAATGGTATAATTTGTTATGTTATCAGGTTTGCGGTTGCACTTAAATAACCATATATTTAGCAGCGCGACCTACGGGATGGATTTTGTTTTTATACTAGAAGTAATTACCAGATCGTGACCGATCCAGTAGCGCTAAGCTCGCGTTTTCCTTTCATAAATTGAATTTCTTTGAACCGAGTGAAATTTATTTCCAATTACGTAAGATTGCCCTTCCGCCGCGCCTTGACTTGTACACAGTCAAGTACCGCTTAAAGTTTGCTTTCCAGACTATCGCCATTTACAGAAGATTGTGGAAGAATTCTATTTCAAAAGGAACGGAATGCGGCGGAAATCTCTTTTTCTTAGACGTCTAGATAACAAGGAAATGCCTCTGCCATTATGATTGTTACTTAATCGGCCGTATGGCGATGGAATTTTGTGGATGTCAACGAGACAATGAATGCCTTATGATAATATGGCACCAAAGACCAAATTTATGAATGGAGCTTAATTAACTTCTAGACGTCGGATAATTGAGTCGCAGAATGAGGAAGCTATGATTAGCAATAACGAAATGGCTAATTTCGGAGATAATTGCTATTGTATAAAAAATGGACATACCTAGCGAAATTAAAACAAAAATAAGATAATTTTCCAAATCTGGAAGTGCACCAATGAAAGTGTCGATCGTAAATAGTTGTTAATTACGCCTACAATAAGATCACGGTTTGCTATATCAGACCAAAACAAGGTGACCAAGGCTGTTGACCTCGAGTTAGTCACAAGTATCAACAGCATGAGAATTGTTACGCTACATATGGCAATAGGTCAAAAGGGAGACCACGCGCCGACGGCAATTCGATTGCCAAATATCACCAGACTAGCTTTAGAAACTCTCTGTATTCGTCGCCTACATTCAGCCGTGACACAGTTAACGCCGTCTGATCATAATCATAAATTTGAGATTTTTTATCCAACGCCAGATTTTCGTGCGTGCGTGAGCAGTGACGTAACTTCTTTTGGAAAACGGTTCGTCACACTCACAGCAGGGCTTTATCCTAGACAGCTTGGAATCCAGAACAAAACAAGTTTTAGGATATTTTTCAGACATTGTCCGCATCTAGTTTCGATTCACTCGTCTATAACGACGACCCGTGAAATAAGATATAGGTCATGAAGTATGATCAGTGAAAGCATTTGATTGGTGTCAGGTTTTTTGATTTTGTTACATTATTAGATATTTTTACCTCGTATACTTTCACTCTATAACGGATGTGGCTGGCAACCAAATGCTTATCCGACAAATTGTCCAAATCTTTCACGACCACTTCCACGCGCTCCATTTCGGGTTTCTTTAAGCTTTTCTTTACGTTACCTAGATTCCAAAATAAATTAAATTCAAATTGACGACACGATAGGAGTTGCTGCAATATTAGAATGGCACGGTATGTGATTGTAATAATAAACAACGTCGTCGAGATCAAATTATTTCAAAAGTTCAAATTATTTCAGTCGTACAGAGTTGCATTTACAATATGTTTCGCTTTATTATTAACGCCAGAGAATTTATTTCGATTATGGGATACGTTTTTTTGGCTCGTATATCGACGAGAAAAATTCTCGCATGCAACAAATGAGTTTTAAAAACAGTAACGCTATTCACAGAAATATATAAACATTTCATCGCAACTTCCTGTTCCAGATGTTTCTACCAGCAGGCGTACAGGTTTAATTTTTCGGGCTTTGACTATGAAAGGGCCGATGAACGTGGGTGACATTTATTGACCAAAAGGTCGACAGAGTTTGTCGAGTTTCTGAAAAAATATCTAAATGATGAACGATCGCGTGATATAAATATTTGTAATCGTAATAAGGCAGTCATATATATTGGCTGTTATAAGTAACATAAAAGTACTCTAACGATGTGCGAGATGTTCGCGAAATACCGCGAATTTGATAAATTATTTGATATTTATGATACAATATCTTCACATCATAATGTGATTGATTTACTCACGTATGTCATGACTTATATAATATTTAATAACTTTATTAAATTTTATTGATGATGTATATCGGAATGTATATAATGAGACCTCAGTGAAGCATGCCGATTGTATTGTGCTGTATGTCTGCTGTGTTTTACCGAGTTGCCTTGATAACATCTGGACACTAATAATTGGCATAACATGGCGTTGTTCAAATCTGTAAATTATTACGTCAAAGCCTTCCAATATGTTGGGCAGTGTTCGAATACAATACATAACGAAAAAATTTATTGTTATTTGACCACTGTAGTCTTTGTCAAATATAAGACGTTAATTAATTTGATAGTTAATGTCTCTTCCAACGTGGTCCAAATCAAAATGTTGCTAAGAGGAAGATAACTTTCAAAAAATATGATAAATTTTATATTAAACCTACCCATTAGCCCACTGGAAATTTCACTTTTCTCTTTGAAGTCGTCGTTTTTCGATACGTCGTTCGTGTCGGTGAGTTTGTACTTCGGTTTTTCCGCCAAATATACGTATTCCATACTTCGGACCTTTACCAAGGAAGCTGTATAAAAAGAAATAACATATATATAGCGCGATACTGGTAAAGTTTGGGTTATATCGTAATGAAAATGATTTCATGGATAACATTCCTACGAACAAAAAGTACTGTATGGTTTGGATTTATCGTTGCCAAAACGAAGGGCGCGTTTATCTTTATACTTCGACCAAAATGCGTAATTTTTTTTTTAATTTTTTTTTCATATTCGTGTTTACAAATAACAATTGCGACTCGGCTTTCGTCCAAATGTATTACGTCAGCATATTTTAGAGTATTTTTCGCACATTGGTCACGGATAGATAATTGACCCAAAATGAATCTAAAATATGTATTTTTCCAGCATGGAAATGATACCCGAACACCGGAAGTTTTCTAAATGATATTGTATTTTCGACTCAAAATATTTTGAACTGTTCTGAACTCAAGGTGATATATTGGTTGTTTTTGTCAGTCGAAATAAAGATGAAATCTTCAACTTTTCATTAGGTAGTTCCCATTCAATTACCGAGACACTTTCGCACATTGGTCGTAAAATTATAGGTTCGGTAGCGCAATTATGTGCAGGGCAAATAGTTAGAAATAAATCGAACCGCCTTTTGTGAGAGCAATTGGAAATATATTTAATTGGTTCCGCCGAATTAGTCAAATCATCGAACGCTGCCGAGGGACGCCTGTCAAACCCTGGACTCTGAAACATGGAGAAGCTCCCCTGGGAGGATAGGTGCACTGAAAACTTCGTTAATAATTTAGATCTGAACATCAAATTGCGCTCAAAAATCAAACAGAGTAGCTTCTGAATTTCCATTGTTCTTAATATCCAACCGCATCAAAGTGAAACTGGTTATTCTCATAAAACATGTTATACTTTCAACGCTTTTCGAAACTCATGAGGGTTGTTTTAGTCACAGCGCCCGCATGGCGAAATCTGACATTTTTGTTCGATTTCAGAAACGCCCGACATATGGGCACTTGTCACGACTCAAAAACCATCAAAATTGTGTTTTCTCCACTAGATTATATTTTGTTATATATTTAAATGGCTTCGCTTTAGTAAAACTGATCTCGGGTCCGGGCAGGTGATCTCAGTTGGTGACTATACAAACACTCTTGGTAGTCGTAACTGGCAGTTACGACCAAAGTGTCAACACTTGAAGAGCGATTGCACCATAAATCAAACTATATTTGTTACGACAAATTTTATTTTAGGTAACAAAAGTGAATTGCTCAATGTCAGGCATATACTTAGATTGACGATCCTCTACCGTAACGTTAAACGGTGGGAAATTCGGAAAATTTTTAACAATCCGGTTGTACGGTTGAATCAAGTCGGTTCAAAGGAAACGCCCGATTTCCTTTGCCGTTTATTGATCATTGGCGGTTTATTATTATATTTCTGTTAGTCATTAATTGTTGACATATGTTAATTATTGCTACGCAAAACCACAACGGAGACTTCAAAATTAGATTCTCATAGATCTAGTACAAATAATTATTTGAACCAAAATTATCAATTTTAAATTTGATTGTAACCCTTGCATTTATCGATGCTGTCCGATACTTTGAAGTCAAAGGGCAGGTTGCAGGTAGAACAAATTTAAAATTGTACATTGTGCATTATCGCTGTTAGGCGAGGTGAATTTCGACAATCAAACACATTCTTGACACTGTGATATTAATTTTCTTCTCGTGGCAATAAAAACTACCAAATTGAAGATATAGAAAACACAAAATATCTCTTACCGTATACATTTTTCCCACATAGATGCGTTTGTGAGTGTGCTGGCATACACATACATGCAAAAGTTGTCTTCAAAAGACACACCACAGCAAATACTTCAAAAATAATTCTTGACATATTGATGGATTGTACTACTTTTCAAAATATTCAATGTCCAGACACTCGCCTTATCTTTGCCAAGTAGCTTACGAATTGTGATTCCTTGACGACGCCGCCGCACTTTTATACCAGAAGCGTCGAGCCACCCACGGTTACAAGCAAATAATAAAACGAGAGAATTAGTCAAACGAGAGAAAGTAGCTACTGTGCGTCTATATCTCGTCTTCAGGTTGTATTAGATGTTAGCTCCAACTTTGATGAATGCTTTCAAAACGAAAATAATATTTACTTAACATGATCAAAATATGAATCTTTCGACTAATTTGAAACTTTTTTGAATAGGAAACCCACTTCTAGCCGTTTGCGAACCATATTACAGAACGGTATAGTTTCACAGATCCTAGCATTTGTAATGGTGTGTTCATTTCATTCATTACGGTAATGGAAGTACACTTTGGCATTTTATGTCTATTTTTTCAGTGTTAAGTATTTCATATGAATCCGTCAAATTTTTGTGGAAATCAGATTTTCAGCTGCACGTGGGGAGTTAGGAGAAAATCCCGAACACCGCGAGGCAATCGCCTTTTAATCTGCTGTACAAAAATTGTAATACCAACTCCCGATGCGCGATGACGTCATATAATATCATGTTGCATGTGAAACTAGGAGAAATAAATATTATGCGTTTGTCAAAAATTATGCCTAGCCAGATATGGTACATGTGCGGATAACATACCTTGCAAATTTGTTATATTATACAAGTCGTGAGATAAAGACGTAGTATACCTGATAACGCAATAATCTTATTTGCATGTTATTGTTTTCCCACACGCATTTATTTCATACATCATTATTTTTTGCAATATGAAAATGTTGTTATTTTTGTTTCTTACGAAACTCGTTCACAGAATTCCATAAATTGACGACATTTATTAGGAAGAAAATGTCTTATTTTCGTCAAATATTTAGATTCCTAAACGATTTTCGTACTCGTATTTTTTTCAGCACTGCACGTACTTTCATTAATAATTCCGAATTCTCATGCCTACTTTGCAAACCATGCCTCTGAAACTCTTAAGCATACATAACAGAATCAAAGTCGAATTTCCATTATGATCTCAGGACTCAATATATTTCTACTCATCATAGCCAGACTGTCTCAAATATTGAAATATTTTCATGATATGAGTCGACTCCCAAAATCACTTGTATTTCATACAGAAGTATTGATATTTGGAACAAAATTTAAATCTTCTGTGATATTGGACATAGGCATTCACCATTGAATTAAAATAAATTCCTCCTAATTGGAGAATTGAGACTTTCATATTGCAGTAAACGTCATTTTGTTTGTGCTTCAAAACAAGACGAAACTGTACAGCAGATTGACGATATGTCTGAAATTTCTGTTTTTCTCGTGAGCCAATGAAAGACCGCCTGGGGAGTGCAGTCCATCCGCCCTATTCACTAGGATTGTTTTCGAAGAAGAAAAACGTAATTTTGATATAGAATGCTGTTCCCGGCAGAACTTTGAAATGAGAACCAAATAATGTTTACTTCCCAAACGTGATACATCAAAAGCATCATTGTTTTTAATTTCTCCAAATCCATTTTCCATATTATCGCTTTTACGTAATATTGACGTCATCGCGAGTTGTTTTCGTTACAACACTACATGGGATATCAAATGATGTCGGTTTAGGAGTTGAGAAATGTCTCTGCCTGAATTTAAAATCCACAATTTTTAAGATATCTTCAATACCAACAAGAATAATCAAAATATATGTCTGCCTGTCGCAATTTTTCATGTTGTTTGTACTTTACACAGACATCTGTGGTTATAAAACACACAGGTGCTTTGCATCTCAATAACCGCAATTGTCACGAGCGATTTTTACTCATCATTTTCAAATGACAATTTGGAACAAAAAATTTACGTATATTAGAGCCTCCCCCTTCGGAGAAAGAGATGAACTATTTCGTTCGTAATTAATCCATTATAACGTCAAATATCTGGGTAAAATGTTACGCGTTGAATTGTGTGTTGTGTTGTCCATTCATATTTCAATTTCACTCAAAAGTTACAAATTCATTTTTTCATTTCTTGAAACTTTTTATATCATTTCTTGCCATCGAGCGTATGTCGTACACGGATTATGGATTGCAAAAATTGTAATCTTACTTGCATTTGCACTTTAATAATTCACTATACAAGAGTCAATATGACCATCAAGGTTCACATATCGCAAGATGATGAACCGTCTTCTTATTTTTCAATTCCAGGTCTTCTTACCTTACCTATTATTTTTTTACAATATGTCTAGTTCACACGCACTTCTGCTCTTGATTTTACGATTTTAATTTTATGTGGCCCATTGTGAGTCATGTTAAGCAATTATTTCATGACCACTCATCCAATTTCAAAATTGTAGATGACAACACCAGCTACTTAGCGACTACATTGACCTTTAATTATTTGTACATGTGCCCGGAACCATTGAATCGGCATTAAAATTGTTTAGAACCAAAACTACGCTATAATGTATGTCTCTTTGAGAGCACGTTTCAGATTTCATTATGTCATATGAAGCACAGAAGAATTTTCCGTTCGAGTAACTCCGGTTTGTGTTTTGTATTTTTTTATTTCCCTAGTAACAAATTGGCAATGTTCACTACGATCAGCTTGACCAAGAAAAATATGTGAGCTCATTGGTCTAATAGTGCAAGCGAGTTTCTATATTGATGGCGCCAAATGTTGATGGAGTGGCACGTGTTACGTAATTGCTGTTCACGAATGACGTGATGTCAAAATAAGGAAACAGCGTTGTAGAAAAGTGGCAATTTTCTACTCCATAAATTCAAATTTTAATCCTATATTTACTACACGAACCTTCTACAGTTACGTTTGGTGCGATGATAATTCTATGCCTACTTATGCACTCCCTGTTTTAGGCCAAACATGCAAAATTATACACATAAAGCAATCACACGTTTCAGCACAAAATCTAATGCACACCTGTGTTTTGTATGTCGCGTTTAAGAGGAAATTAGATGAACTAATGAATACATTTGAGTGTAACTTGAGATCGGGAGGAATAATTACTTCACAAGTAAATTACACAGAAAGACTATGAATGCATTTTCCAACGTATACACTTACTGAATTCTACCAAATGATTTGGAATCGACATACAGTAACGTCGTTTCCGCGTGGTACTTCAGTGTAATAGTATACAGTTACACTAAAATCTTGTTATGTTATACCTTGTCGCACGTCATTGTTTTCAACGGCTTTTGCCCGTGACCCCCGGATTGCTTGTGTGGACGTGACAATCGCCCACGGAATACAATATGAATTCAACCTCAAATATTTATTGCCATTTTTGTGGATGGCGACATTAAATAGTTCAGTCACAATTCACAATTATGTCCAACCAAAAAAGACCAGTCCATATGGACTCTAGGGGTGAAAGATATAAAAATATTTTTTATTTGTTCCTTTTTGGGCATATAATACGCTATGTCATTTTGCTGGGACTTGTATAACAATATTCAACAAAATTCAACAACAACAACAACAATATTCAACAAAAAACATTAAATAGTTCAGTCACAATTCACAATTATGTCCAACCAAAAAAGACCAGTCCATATGGACTCTAGGGGTGAAAGATATAAAAATATTTTTTATTTGTTCCTTTTTGGGCATATAATACGCTATGTCATTTTGCTGGGACTTGTATAACAATATTCAACAAATTTTGTTTGCATAAAAAGGTACCTAAGCGGAGAAAATGCTTTTTTTGATCAAAATACATTTCACGAGTTGGTATTTTTAAACGCGCTAAGAATTTCGTCAAAGAATCGCAAAATTTTAAAGAGAGTAATCGAAAGTTTTAACCACTCATCTTTGTGAAAGTGTATATTTACACCTTGGTTTCTATTAGCAATGATTGTATGAATTTTTATGGATATACAGTAATATTTGAGTTTTTAATACTAGAATTATACGTTTTTCATCATACTTAGAGAATTTAAGGTGTCGAAATGGGTTTAAATAAAATAGATCATATCCCAAAATATCATACCTATAGAGCAATGAAACGGTTGTTTTTGTGGATCTAGATAAAATTGGGAGAAAATGAACCCAAATTATAGCCAAATAAGGAATTCAATATCTCTGCGACTGGCACCTAGATATATGTTTTTCTGCAATTTAATGTATTGAACAAAACACCGGCCAGTTAAGAGCAGTCTGACGCATTTGGGTAAACATTGAATATTTCGAATAGGTCGGAATCAACAGTTTTCTACCTGTTTTAAAGTTGTCGCATTGTTTGCCTATATGTCTTACGCAGTTGTCGACAAATATTTTGAGTAAATTTTGCCTCAAAGTTCTTCGTGGCAATCGGTCAATCTACTGTTCTATATAGGCCATGACGTCATAGGTCTATTAGTTGAGTTTTATTTTGAAATATTGCGTATTAAGCAAATCACGTGACTTAAAAGTAAGGGATGTTATGTTCCGGACTATCCCATTGACACCTTGCACTTTTTACGGTGAATTATATTTATTATTATATAACCATGCAAGAACCATGATAATCATAGTATGTTATAGCACGTTTCATTCACAGTTCATGCCTGTTGAAAAATACATTCCGATTGTACGGATTACGTTGGTTCTTACGCAGACGAGATCTTACGTCATGATCTAAGAGGCTTTGAAGTAGACAAAATGCATGTTTTTTAATTACATATCTAACTGGATTAAAAGGATTATGATTTATAAAAACGATGAAAATGAATTTCAATTTTTAGCATCCAAATATGGCTAACTTATTCTATGTCCAAATATGGGTTGGATTGAAAAAATAAATATCCTCAATATTCAATTTTCTGGCCAGAATTTTTATTCAACTTCACATTTTCTTATTTTTTAATGCCAAAAAAGAACTGTTAGGGAATTTCTTCAATTGTGTAGAGTCTGTGTGTGTTTACCGTACACACGTGCTTGTTTGTGTGTATATGTGCATGTTATGTGGAAATAACACCAACAAATGACGTTTTTAGCACACGAACTTGTGAAGTAAAA